TATAATGCACTGTCCCTCTCTAGAGAGGCAATGAAGTGAGTCTTCGGGAGAAAATCTGGTGTGGGTATCCAGCCACCTTTCTTGGATACTAGATTGTATTAATGTTTTCATCTCTTGGTGGGTTAAGTCGCTATTTGGTTGTACCATGTCACTGCCGCTTCTGGCCAATCTGTCCGCTATTTCATTGCCTTCCAAGCCACAGTGACCTGGAATCCACTGCAGTACAGATTGTTCTACTGAAGATCCTAAGTAAATCAGCTGTTGCGTCAAGTCTACAAACTGAGTGTCTTTTGGGTTAACAATTGCTTGAAGAACTGACATAGCATCAGTCAGAAAGACCACTCTGCTATATTTGCTGTGCTGTTGTCCATTCATGAAAGAACATGCCGCTAGAAGTGCTTCTGCCTCTGCTCTGTAATTAGAGGAATATGAACCTGTTGGTACAGCCTGGTTGATTTTTAAACCATTTGGGCATTCTATGTATATTCCTCCTCCTCCGTCTCTTACTGCTCTCTTGGCTGAACCATCTGTGTACACTCGAATCCAACTCTGGCGTGGATAAAGTGATTTATTAATCTCTTCTTCCGTAGTTGCTTTCGTATCAGTGCTGCTCATTGATGATTTGGAGAAGATCCCTGTTACAGTGGTTCTGACTGTTGGTAGGCTATCCCTGAGCCAAGGGGGCAGTCGTTGTAAGGTTTAAGTGGAACATTTGGTATTATGGGAGGGAGTTTTAGGACAGCGAGCTTGGCATTTGCGTTCTTAATAAAACAGGTTCTCTTTAGTCTAGCCTTCTGGTGTTTCTGCAGTCGGCTGTGCATGGGTTGCTCTTTAAAGTGGTGGTATTTGGAGAGCTGGGTGAGGAGCTTTGTGTCTCTCCTATCTTCCAGATCATGGAGACCAGTAATTGTTTTCATGTCTGATATAGGCGGGGAGCGCATTGCCCCTGTCATAATACGGAGAGCATGGTTTTGGATCTTTGAGACTTTCTGAAAATTTGATTTAGCTGCTGTGCCCCCAAGCAGCTATTCCATATTCTAGTGTTGGCCTCACATAGCCTGTATAGGTCCTTTTAAGGACATTGAGGTTTGCCCCCCAGTCTGTTCCAGCTAACTTCCTCATCAGTTGTGTTTTCTTGAGTCCCTTGCTCTGTGTCTTTTCTATCTGTTTTCTCCATGTGAGTCTTGGGTCAAAGGTTACTCCTAAATATGACGGTGAGTTCTCATGTTTCAGTGCCTGGCTGTCATATGTAAGTGAAACTTTCTGGGGTTTGGTGGAGAGACTGAAAATGGTGTGTGTGGTTTTGGCCCCATTGACAGGCATGTACCAACTATTGGACCACTTCTCTAGAGTTCCGAGGGATTCTTGAAGCCTTGTCTGTGCTTTTCCAGTGTCCTCCTCTGAACTCAGTAGCGCCAGATCATCGGCACACATAACAGCTTGAACTCCATTACAGAGGGTTGATTTTATGTCGTTAATGTAAACTAGGAAAAGAATTGGGGACAGAACTCCGCCTTGTGAAACTCCATGTTTCATAGTGGCTGATCTGCTCCTTGAACCCTGTATCTTGACTCTTGCAGATCGATTGTCAAGATATTTTACGATCCACTCAAGCATGTGATGGGATATTCCACTTTCAAGTAGCTTTTGTTTCAGCCCATTTTTCCACACTTTGTCGAAGGCCTTTTCCATATCCACCCAGACTGCAATAGTGTGCTTTTTTTCCTGGAATGCATCTTCAAAATAAATGTAATTTGGTCTTCTGTTGATCTACAACGTCTAAAACCTGCATGTTCCTCCATTAGTTTGAAGTTTTTCTCTAGGAACCAGGCCAGTCGGTTGTTCAATAATCTTTCAAATAGTTTACACATACAGCTAGTGAGGCTGATGTGTCTGTAGCTGTCTGCGTTGTTCTTCGGATTTCTTTGTTTCAGGATTACGAAGATTACAGACTTCCTCCAGGCTGGAGGAACTATACTAAAAATCCAGCTGGCATTAAAGATGTTTAATAATTTCTTTTTGACACTTGGACCCATGTGTAGTAACATATCATTCGTGATTTTATCGGGGCCAGGGGCTTGGCTGGATTTCAGCTGGTTGAGTCCTGTGTTAAGTTCACTCATTGAGAATTTATCTGTCATGATGCTCTCTGCTGGTTTACTCTTGCTGGCCTCCTCGAGTTCTTTAATCCTTTGTACTACCTCATCTTCTCTGGACTATTCTATATCACTAACAGATTTAAACTGATTTAAAAGGATATTTGCAGCGTCGTGATAACGTACAAAACAAATAGATGCCTAGATTACATTTCAACGTGTCTCTATTTCAAATTCATTCGCATTTTATATGAGATAAATGGAAATACATAATAGATGGCTGAGTCAACATTGTTTGCTGTTTCAGTGAAGGTTAAAATGTATTTTAGTGTGTGTGTTTTTACCACCAGCGTGTTCAAATGAGGATGAACCTACGACAGATCCAGCAAACTGACAGGGAATTTATTTGTTCAACTGAAATTGCTCGCGAATTATGGAGGAAATTTAATTAACCATCCGAGACAAAATTAGAAACGATATAATCAGACTGACTGAAGGAACAACACCACGTAGCAAATCCATTGAAAAACAGAAGATCATATGGTTTGGTCAGCTAGTAAGAATGCAGCCAGAACAACTACAATGCAGGCGTTATACATGAGAAGATCTGAAGTGAAAGCAAGAGGCCCCACTAGAAGAAGATAGATTTATGACACTGGAAAGCTTCTACATCGACATGGAATGACAATAACTATTACTGTCCATCAAGCAATGAATGCAAACTGTTCTTCCCCACAATGCTTATCGACATAAGTGGAAATTGATGATGATGATGATGAAAATGATGAAGATGACATACATTTTAGTCATCGTAGCATTCGATTAGTGCCACTGCAAATCTTACATTTCAAATAGGCCGCGACTCCTTGTGGGTTCCAGGAACCCCGTTTTCGGGGAAAAAAGAATAGACCCACTGCCTCCTATCAAGCATGTCGTACAAGGCGACTAATTAGTGGAGTTTTCTAGAAAGTGGGAGTGCATCTGCCTGACAAGCGGGGAACCAGCAGTCTGCTTATAAGTAAGCTAGGTCTGTAAAATGGATGTGCAGGCAAAAATCAAGTTCTGGAACTAGACCAGAATTCAGAAATGGACGAACAACCAGAACTTTCTGCTGAAGTTTACAGCCGGTGAATGCTAAGAAAAAATCAGGTGACTGCTTGGCATAATTTTTAATTTACATTATGAATCTGTTAGAAAGGGAGCTAAATCAACACCAAGTGGTAAGCAACACTTGTCAGCAGTGCTTCTTTAACTATTTCATGGTTGCCTCCCTGGAAACGGTAATGACCCTATTGTTAATGATGTACATTTAGATGTTTATACCTTATACGTTGAACATTATACCGGTCTCTTTTACTTCCCATGAATTTACATGATACAAACGTCAGGCCGAGTCGATCTGGGAGGCAAGGTTGTTTTTTTTTTTTTTTTCTTCAAATATTTGATTCTATGTGGATATCAGTGGGAAACATTCGGCCGGTAGACGAGCGTTTAGCCACTCCTCAACCGTGGCTCCAAGTTATTACTTATACTGGATATTCATTTGCGAAATTATTGTTGTCCACTCTTTCTGTTACGTTAACCCATTTTACTCGAGTTGTTCTTTTACATTTTCAACCCAAAGAGAAAGGGAAAATCACAATTTATATCGTAACATAGCAAAAACAAAGATAATGCATATAGATAAAACTACCATGGAGAAAGAAGAGGACAGATTGGCGGTTGTGGAACATTTTGAATATCTTGGGTCATTGGTTACCAACAATGGTGACACAATGAAAGCAATTAAACGACAACTATCAATTGCTCTTCAGCGACTAAAACAACTGAGTGGGACAGACAGAACTACAAAAATTAAGATTTCTGACAGCGTGTATCTTTTCAATTGCAACATACTTCTGTGAAACCTGGAGACTTACTAAAAAAAGCTGAACAGCGCATAAATGCCTTTGACTACAAATGTTATAGACGGGTTCTAAGAATGTCATGGGTAAAGAAAAGAACAAATGCATCCATGATTTAAGAACTGAATAGTGAAGAAGGTTGGCTTTTAAGACTTTAAACACAGAAAACTAAAATATTCTGGTCACTTTAAACGTCACGCAAGTTTAGAGAGAACAATAATGGAGGGGTATATGCCTGGGAAGAGAGGAAGAGGAAGGCCAAAGGGAAGATGGGTGCAGGATGTAGCGGATAATCTCCAGATGGTTCTATCAGAAGCAGGACATCTTGCTTGTAATCGAGACGTTTTCCGGAAGGTTGTTATGGCAGCAAGGTTCTGCAGAGGACAGGCTACTGACTGACTGATTGACAACTGACTGACTGATTTACTGATCCTATAGTTGTATTATTTCGATTCCTGCGGCTGCCACTTTCAGTTACAATGAAATGGGCTCGGCTACATTAAAACTGTGGAAGTACAAAGGAAATAACATCGTATTATACTGAAAGTAGATCTTCCGAAACTCAGCAAGTATACTTTTCTCTTGTGTCGATGTTTTTGCTTTGTACTTTTACATTTCAGGCTGAACTGTTTTGATCCCCTTGTGGGTTCTAAGGGCCCCATTGTTGGGAAAACAAGGACAGACCCAATGCCTGCCTAACAAGTAGGTCTAAGAGTCGACTTATTAGGAGTAAGTGCATCTGCCTGAGAGGCGAGGAAGCAACAGTCTGTATACAAATTAGATCTTTAAAACGGATGCACACGCAACACTCAGGTTCTGGAACACGCCTGCAGTCCAGAAGTGGATGAACAGCCAGAACTTTCCGCCAGAGTTTACAGCTGGTAAACGCGAAGAAGAAAAAGAACTGTTCTGAAAATGCGTCTTTCTGCGACTGACAGAGCTGAGTCCAACACTCCAAGGATTTATCATATTAATTCACTTCATGCACAAGCGGACTTTGTCACCGCGACTGTGCGAACATCTGCATGATGCATTCAAGGTCGTCCTCCTGACAGTAGTACTCATATTCGTCGCCGCCGCAGTGGTAGAGTCGGATACCAACGTGACCCAGCGTGACGCAGGCGACGGCCATCAGGACGTAAGTGGCGTGCAGAAAACGCAGTGGGCCAACTTTAATGTAGGGTAGCCTGGCTGTGAAGTCTAGCAGTCCTTCTTTACTGAACAGTCGGCCTGTTGAGGGGAAATAACACAAAATATGAATAGAAAGCTTAACGGAGGAAATAGAAAAGACGCACACAAACACAACCTAGCAATGTTTCGGCTAAAGTCTTTATCAATTGAGTACAAAATTCAACTCAAAGTGTGACTGGAAAACTCGATGGACAAGACAATATTGCTTATTTAAAAACAAAACAAATACCAAGGTCAATATGAAACTAAGATGTACGTAATTGTGCGGGGGGGGGGGGGGGGGGTATTTTTATGAAATTCTATATAACGAAACGAAACGAAATAAGTAAGAAGGCGTATGTTAAAAAAATTGGGAAGGGGGACAAATAAGTTAGATAAATGAACAATCAAAAAAATTAAATTTTCAAAAAGCGGTTTGGGCAATGCAAGCGTGTGTATTTAGGGATAAGTAAAAGTAAAAGAAAGAGAAGGATCGGCGTCTGTGGCCTAGTTGTTGAGAACGAGCTTTGTAATGCCAAGGTGCTGTGTTCGATCCAAGTTGCAGGCAGTCTGGTAGTAGACCTCCTTGTCTTCGTTTTGACAGTGGCATCGAGAACCGACCGTCTAATGGCAATGACAAACTACTGAACATTAAGCTACTAAGAAAAACCATAATAGCCAAAAATGCTGTATTTTGTTTTGCAACGTCCTGTAAAGAAAATGCAACAACACACACACACACACACACACACACACACACACACAAAAGTAAAGGACCCTTTTCCATGCATTCACGACTATTGGGCATATAGGGCTTTACCTTTATGATGCAGCCCAATCTGCACTAGGCGGATGATGTAGTCAACATCACGATGAGCTCCTTTGCTTCCCTAGATTTTACCCAGTACCCATCTAAGGCTTGGTCGACCTGGGAGCCGATGTTATTTTTTTTAAACGGTCCGGCACCGTAAGGATTGGAACCCACGACTTTCGGATCCAAATAAAACACAGTCAACTTTCGCCGAGGTCGCCTGCATCCTCACACAAGTCTGGCAACACGCAAAGCAATCAAGAAATTCAGTTAGACTCTACTACCCTATCCACCATGTCCCGATTTGGCACCGTCTAATTTTCACTTAGTTGGTTCACTTAACGATGAACTCCGTGGAATAAGGTTTGAAGAAGTTGAGTGAGTGATTCGTACTGTGAAGAAATAGCTACATGATGAAAACTACATTTTGCACAGCTAGAAATACACGCTCTCGTTTCGGGATGGCATCAATCCCTGTAAGCTGATGGGGATTATATTGAACAATACCGATGTTTACGAGACATATCCATGTATATTATTATGTATAATTTGTATTTTTTAAACAGATCCTGAGGGTGGGGAATGAGGTCCATTATTTCCTGAACGCCCATCCTATTTAAAAATGAAGCTCTTTCGTTCGCTCATTCATTCATATTGCGCTTAACAAAACAACAACAACAAAAAAAAACGACACTCCCTAGCTCTAGCGACGACTTATAAGGATCTTCGAAACAGATTTACTGACCGGAAGACTAAATTCAAAACCGAACCCAAAACATTTAAACAACGTGACCAACGGCTTAACCGCGTTACTATGGCAACACGTTGTGTGTGTTGCTTTTTTTTTTTTTTTACACGACCACCGGGTAGTTGGAGGGAGAGGGGGGAGAGAGAGAGAGAAGAGAGGGGGAGAGGAGAAGGTGATGAGGGGGGAGAGAGTGAATGGGGGGGTAGATAGAGAATGGGGGGGGGAGAGAGAGGGGGGAGGGGGGGGGAGAAGAGAGAATGGGGGGAGAGAGAGAGGGGGGAGGAGGGGGGGGAGAGAGAGAATGGGGGGAGATGAGAGAGAATGGGGGGAGAGAGAGGAGGAGGAGGGGGGAGAGAGAAGAATGGGGGGAGAGAGAGGGGGGAGGGGGGAGAGAGAGAGGAGTGAGGCGGGAGAGAGAGGGGGGGAGAGAGAGAGGGGAGGGGTGGGGATGAGAGAGAATGGGGGGGACGAGAGCGGGGGGAGGGGGGAGAGAGGAGGGGGGGAGGGGGTGAGAGATAGAACAATGGGGGGAAGAGAGAGGGGGAGGGGGGGAGAGAGAGAGAGAGAGAGGGGTGGAGAGAGAGAAGAATGGGGGGGAGGGGTGGGAGAGAGAATGGGGGGACGAGAGAGGGGGGAGGGGGGGACGAGAGGGGGGAGGAGGGGGAAGAGAGAGAATGGGGTTTAGAGAGAGGGGGAGGTGGCGGGGAGAGACGAGAATGGGGGTGAGAGGAGAGAATGGGGGGAGAGAGAGGGGGGAGGGGGGGGAGAGAGAGAAGGGGGGGGAGAGAGAGGGGGTGACGAGAGAGGGGGGGAGAGAGAATGGGGGACGAGAGAGGGGGAGTGGGGAGAGAGAGAGAGAGCGAGGAGAGAGAGAGAGAGAGGGGGGGGAGAGTGAGAGAGAGAGAATGGGGGGGAGAGAGAAGGGAGGGGGGGGGCGAGGAGAGAGGAGGGGGGAGAGAAGCGAGGGGGGAGGAGAGAGAGAGGGGATGAGCGAGAGGAGAGAATGGGGGGGAGAGAGAGGGCGAGGTGGGGGGAGAGAGAGAGATAGAGAGAGAGAAGAGAGGAGAGAGAGAGGAGGAGATTGGAGAGGGGGGGAGAGAGAGAGAGAGAGAGGAGATGAGAGAGAGAGATTGAGAGAAGAGGGAGAGATGAGAGGGGGGAGAGAGAGAGGGGGGAATGAGAGAGGGGAGAGAGAGAGAGAGGGGGAGGGGGAGGGGAGAGAGATAGAGAGAGAGACGGGGAGGAGGGGGAGAGGGGGGAGAGAGAGAGGGTGGAGAGAGAGAGAGGAGGAGAGAGAGAGGGGAGATGAGAGAGAGAGAGAGAGAGAGAGAGAGGGGACGAGAGAGAGAGAGAGGGGGGCGGAGAGAGAGGAGAGAGGAGAGAGGAGAGAGAGAGGAGAGAGAGAGGGGGGGAGGGAGGAGAGAGGAGGAGGGGAGGGGGGAGAGGAGGAGACGGGAGGAGAGGGAGGAGAGGGAGAGAGAGAGGGGGGGAGAGAGAAGAGGAGAGAGGGGGGGAGAGAGAGAGGGAGAGAGAGAGGGAGAGAGAGAGAGAGAAGAGGATGGGGGAGAAAGAGAGAGGGGGAGGAGAGAAGAGAGGAGAGGGGGGGAGGGGGGAGAAGGAGAGAGAGAGGAGGGGGGCATGAGCGAGAGAGGGAGAGAGGAGGAGGGGGCGGAGGAGAGGAGAGAGGGGGGATGAGAGAGAGGTAGGGGGAGAGAGAAGGGGGACGAGAGAGGGGGATGAGAGGAGAGGGAGGAGAGAGGAGGCGGAAGAGAGGGGGGAGAGAGAGGGGGAGAGAGAGAGAGAGAGAAAGAGGAGGAGGCGGAGAGGAGAGAGAGAGGTGGGGAGAGAGAGAGAGAGAGAGGGGGGAGAGAGGAGAGGGGGATGGAGAGAGGGGGAGAGAGAGGGGGAGACGAGAGAGAGGGAGAGAGAGAGGGGGAGAGAGGGGGCGAGGAGAGATGAGAGAGGGGGGAGGAGGAGAGAGATGAGAAGAGAGAGAGAGAGAGAGAGAGAAGAAGAGAGAGAGAGAGAGAGAAGAGACACGAGAGAAGATGTCAGTTTAGCATCTTGGTATGAAAGATGAATGATATTATATTAGGTTGATAAGAGACACCAGTGAAACAAAAAGGCAGTGGACAGAAATGATTACCAACAGCACACGCATGGACTAGAAGAAGAAGAAGAAGAAGAAGAAGAAGAAGAAGAAAGGAGAAGAAGAAGAAGAAGAAGAAGAAGAAGAGAAGAAGAAGAAGAAGAAGAAGAAGAAGAAGAAGAAGAAGAAGAAGAAGAAGAAGAACAACAACAACAACAACAACAACAACAACAACAATAACAACAACAAGAAAAAGTAAAGGAAGAAGGAAGAAAAAAGAAGGGGGAAAGATAGATGGAAGTAAAGGGGAGGAGAAGAAGGAGAAGTTAAGAAGGAAAGAAGCGAAGAAGAAGTTTCAAGAACGGAGGAAGGAGGAGGAAACAAAGGAAGGTGGAAACATATTAGGGAGGGGAAAAAAGGAAGGAGGAGAAGGAAAAACAACAACAATAAAGTGACTGGAGTCTTTTATGGGTAATCATATGAAAAGACTGATATATCGTCCAACCAATCTTCCTTCAACCTGAAGTACTCCATTGACTCACCGTCTCCGAGGAGAGACTCTGGCACATCTCCACTCTCAATTTCCTGGTAAGAAGCGCTCCACCACACGCCCTGGGAGTCCACGTACATGTCCTTGGATGGCTGCCAGCAATGGAGGGCCCATTCCTCCATCACAGCAGAGTCTAGGGTTTTCCTGTGGAGGAAAACACACATGTCATTATTGTAACTGACTCACAGAGAGCTGGAGATATGCATGCTTCGTGCAGTGGCAAACATTGCTTCAGACGTCCCCGTAATACGCGTACATTGGATATTTTCTCCAGCCTATGCTGGTGTGTTGAAAACGAGCAAGCAGATAGACTGGTCGGTCTTGCACCATTCGGTGGTGATTTGTTGTATAACAAGCTAGATGTTGTGAGGGTCCTCTGGGAGCGAGTGAAAAGTGCGGAGGCACATATAGATCATTACAGTCTGAGAAGAATGACACTGCGAGGAGTTACCAGGGGATCTGGCCGACGCTAAGTACTCAAGGGAAAGGCGAGGCGGATGTACCGACAGCTACTGATACCATGGGAATTAAAACTCCTCGCCTGCTGCTGAATATGGGGACGGGGCACTTATGGAAGTGTCCTGAGTGTTATGATGTAGATTCTTAATTCAACATCCAATACGATTCATTCCTCTAGGGAAAGATAGTCATCTACTGAGGACAGTAAGGCTGACGTATCTGTCGCTGGGGATCCAGTAAGCTGAACCTTTGGGGATGGGAGGTGCTTAGAGCTAGGTAACATTTGCATTGCTGACTCCTCTAGTTAATGCCTGCTAACGAAGATGTGACCACCGCCCCATGGGATCCTAGTAACGAAGACCTCAGGTTATCGCAATCGACGTCACAGTGCACTGGGCATTTCCATGCATGCTAAGTCCTCCTGTGCAGCAGCCACTCCAAGGTATCTCTGTGAACCTTTTCCTTGAGGAGTTGGCTATAATGTCTCATATCTCGGTCTCGAAGGCGGTATTAACGTATTTCACTACGCTTTACTCACAGGTCACGCAATCGTGTTAGTATTAGACATTCGTCTTATCCACTCATCCAGCCCCTCCAGCTTATTATATTATATCTGCTCTGTTCATGCTTCTTCCTCGAACGTGTCCATGCATTGCCTGCCAGCTAGTCCGCTCGCTCATTACCTTTTACGCCGGCATCACCAGGTCTGTAGATCCTGATGAGGGAGGTTAAGTGCGAATTTCGAATGCTCTCCAGCCACGCAGAGCGCATGCACCTGTTGCAGTTCTCTTAAGCATGTTCATAGTAAGTAAATATCCCTTTTCACGTCTTTAACACATCGGGCATATGGAAAGAGCACCCATATTTTTACAGACCAATCAGCACTAGGTGGGTAATATGGTCAGCATTACGCCGGCCGTCTATACTTCCCCAGGACCTACATCCTGGCTCACATCTTAGGTTGGGTCGATCTGCGACGACCCATACAAATCCGCGCAGCCAGCAGTGGGTTTCGATCGCTGTACTTTGGAATTAAGAGTCGGACTCACAACACCTAAAAGCATGTTCATGGAGTCTGATACAATTACTGCGTGTGTTGCTGATTGATCTGTTGTCTATGCTAGTGCTTTCAGCGCTTGAAAGGCAGGGGGAGAGAGGGGGGGGGGATGGGCTCAAAATCCTTTTATCCGTATGCAGACTGTAGGTTCCCCACCGCCCAGGCAGATACGTTCCAAATTCAGATTTAATAAAATTCCTCATAAGTCGCCTTTAGAGACAATCTGGTTAGGGAGGCAGTGGGTTCATTCTTTTTCCTTTTAAATGGAACCCCGGCACCCGCAAGGGGGAAAGTTTCCTCTGACACAAGGCCAATTTTACATTGCTACAGCTGGTCTTCATGTCAACATAGCAGTTACTGACTACATTAGTTAAATTCTCTCCAGGTCTAACTTCCTTCTATCTCAAAATGTTACGCGTCTTATAGGGCGTTCCAGAAGTTCTGCCAGACTTTAAAAATATATATTCGGTTTAAGATATTGAAATTTAGCATGGAGCCTGTTAATAACAATGTCCTTGTAAATATATATACATATTTGTTTTTGTTTTTTTTTTACCTTTTTGTTTTGAAATTTTACTTATTTGAGGAATATAAAAAAAAAAAAAGCATACAATCAACATGAAAACAGAGTATCAGTAAATTAGGTAAACTAAGTAAAACGAACTTTCAAAACTTCAAATTGCAGGGGTTTCATTGTCATTTCACTCTCGCTCTCAGGCGATCGTTTACAGCAGTTTCCTGCCGTTATTTATTAGATGAACACAATTTTTAATATATGCCCTAAAGGCTATGCAAATAATACTAACGTAAAGCTGCATGCGTGAACTTATTTCCAAAGAATATCCACGTATCTGTCAACTAGTGTATATTCTACTTTTTTTTTTAAAGGAGTACACAAATTATTAGTGAAACAAAGATCCAAAAAATTCGTCACTTAAGACCCAAAAAAAAAAAAAAAAAAAAAAAAAACAGCAGCTCTTGTGCACCTGTATATTATAAAATAATAAGCGCATGGAAAAGCTAAGACCATATGCAAAAATTCGGGTTGATCAATACAGGAGTTTCGAGATACTTGTTAAAAGTGTGACGGCATGAGTTTTGAAACGTACTGTAACTACTTTCTACCCCGTACCTACACAGAGCTGCAAGTTCCACCTGGCCGGTATGGCTATTAAGAGTACTCTAATCATAACTTTTTTGGGGAGGTTGAGTGGGGTATCTGAGATCATCCCTGTTGGTCTGCCATCCAGACCTTTTAAAACCACAGGTTGGTATGGTAAACCTTTAGTTAGCAGAGGCATGCTTCGTGCAGAGTTGCAAGCTTCGCTGCGGAGGTCACTGGTGAGGAGCACTGTCAGGATCTTTTCCTTGGGTGATGTAGGTGTGTTGGGATATGAACAGGCGGACAGACCGGCTAGCTCTGCACAGCTTGGTGGAATACTGATGTATGATAAGGCAGACGTGGTTAAGGCCTTGTGGGATAGCGTGTACTGTTAGGAGGGGCAAATGGATCACCGCAGTGTGGTGAGAGTGATGCAGCGGGGAGTGATGAGGGGTTCTGGTCGATGCTCGACGCTCAGAAGGAAGGCAAGTCAGATGTATAATTAGAATGCTACTGGCACCATTGGTACTGGTACTGGCTGCTGAAGATGGAGACGAAACGTTTATTGAAATGCCCCAAGTGCTGAGATATCGGTTCTCGAATCAGCTCAACTCAACTAATTAGCAGAGTGGAAAAACAGCATACTTGGGCACAAACAGCATACTTGGTGACAAACAGCATACTTGGGCACAAACAGCATACTTAGGCACAAACAGCATACTTGGGCACAAACAGCATACTTGGGCACAAACAGCATACTTGGGCACAAACAGCATACTTGGGCACAAACAGCATACTTGGTGACAAACAGCATACTTGGGGACAAACAGCTTACTTGGGGACAAACAGCATACTTGGGCAGAAACAGCGTACGTTTTCTGGTGATACCCATTACCTGAAGGACTCAGACAAAGGCAGTTTGCTAGGATGCACGCAGTCCATCATGGCTTCTCGCCAACGCCGGTACTGTATCAATCTGTCCAGCTTACTACGAGACGATGTCGAGGTCAATATCAGCAGCGGAATGTGAGACTTGGACGGGAACCGGTCCGTGGGGTCACATGTCAGCCTTGTAACAGGCAGCAGGCACTGAGTCCTTACACCAGCAAAATAAATGTATAGTTATTTATACGTTTTTTTTTTTACAGGGGAGTCTGTGTGTTACCATGATTGTTTGTGAGCGTGTATGTGTGTGTGTGTGTGTGTATGCGTGTGTATGTGTGTGTGTGTGTGCGTGTGTGTGACTGAGCCAGTGTGCGTGTGTGTGCGCGCGCGTGACAAACTGAGCGTGTGTGTACGAGTGTATGTGTGCCGGCATGTGTGAGTGAGGAAGTGACTGAGCGAGTGTTCGTCTATGTGTGCGCGCGGGTGTGACTGTAAGCGAGTGACTAACTGAGCGTGTATGTTTGCGTGTATGTGTAAGTGAGTCAGTTACTGAGCAAGTGTGTGTGTGTGTGTGTGTGTGTGTGATGCGCGCGCGCATGCGTGAGTCATTTTGCGATAGGCGTTTGTTTATATTGGAATACTTGTTGACCTGTGCCGCGAACAAGTAAACATGCAATGTCACCGGCCCCTGCTCATAACAACGCAAAAAGCTTTGCGAAGACAATACAATGAGACACCCCTGTAACATAAACTAGCCTGAGCTAGCACGTATGAAAGGTCTAAGGGTGTGTATTTGGGCCGGACATCGTGAAAAGAACCAGTTAATGTTCTTGTTTCCTCGAGTAAGGGACCACTTTAGTAGTAGTAACTTTTGAGTGTACCCTTATATCAAATGTAGTTTATTATGTGGCAGACAAAACAAATGTGCATCGGTGACCGGGTCGCACATTGGCTCGCCGGTAGACGGCTTCGTCGCCGGTCGAAACAGTATTTGGGTCCATCTCCTGTGATCGCATTAAAACTGCAGGAGTCTTTTTTAGCGGTCTTGTTGGCGTGCATTTCTAAGCCATTTTATCTGGCGCATTTAACCTAGTCATATTTATAACCTAAAGCTTCCCCTTCGGGTATGCTGGTTAAACGTAACGATTGTTTTTCTCCCTAAAACATGGATGGTTGACACAAAAGGGATGTGAAGTCTTGTATGGGGAAACGGGAACATTGATTTCAGTGGGAAAAAGTCTTAGGTGAAAGGCGAATGACAAAATGAATGTCAAACTAAAGTCTTTTGTAAAACGTGCAAGATACTGATTGTAACGCGAATGATACTAATGTAATGTCTTATTACGAAGATAACTGGCACTAAAATATAAATGTAAATCCTTCTTTGGAAGATACTGACATTAAAATAAAGGAGAATTTTTACATGGAAAGTAAATATCGCTGATAATATCAATGTGCATTTTTACATAGAAGGTAAATGGTTCTGTTAATTTCAGTAATAATGTTAATGCTAATTCCTACATGAAAGGACTGAAAATATTCATACGAATTCTTAAACGGAAGGAGGTAAATGAAACTGGTAATATAAACTGAAATTATTACTCGAAATATAAATCATCGTCATCAGTTCTCTTTATGCATAGTGGCACAAGAAACTTCAGAGAGGACTTTCAATGCTTTCCTGTCCCGTGCAATCTTTAGTGCAGTTTTCCACATCAAAGAGAGTCTACCCGCCCATCTATTGCAATACCCACTCATCCATTCAACCCACCATCCACGATCTATTTAATCTAATCTAATCTATCTATCTATCTATCTATCTATCTATCTATCTATCTATCTATCTATCTATCTATCTATCTATCTATCTATCTATCTATCTATCTATCTATCTATCTATCTATCTATCTATCTATCTATCTATCTATCTATCTATCTATCTATCTATCTATCTATCTATCTATCTATCTATCTATCTATCTATCTATCTATCTATCTACCTACCTACCTACCTACCTACCTACCTACCTACCTACCTACCTACCTACCTACCTACCTACCTACCTACCTACCTACCTACCTACCTACCTACCTATCTATCTATCTATCTATCTATCTATCTATCTATCTATCTATCTATCTATCTATCTATCTATCTATCTATCTATCTATCTATCTATCTATCTATCTATCTATCTGTCTATCTGTCTATCTGTCTATCTGTCTATCTGTCTATCTGTCTGTCTGTTGGTATTTGTTTGCTAGCACAGGCACCGCTTTCATTCCATGCGGATGGACTAATGTCATCCCCACAACCCAACCCTGGTTACGCCCTATAGGCCAACCTCTTCCTCCCTCTTTAGACACTCAGTGTACGCTGTTGGCGTCTACTCCGCTCCATTTTTCGTCCCCCCCCCCCCTCCCTAGCCGCGCGTTGGAGATATAATAGGCTAGTAGCTGACCGTCATTTTCTTGTACGAGGTTTTTTCGCCAGGGACACAGATGAGTATCATTTATTTTTAACATTAGAATCTTATGTAGTCACTTCATAGTTAGAGCATATTTGTGTATGTGTATTGTGTTGTCCTTTATGTGCCGATGAAGGCTAATCGCCGCAACGTCCTTTGTTTGTTTACTGTGATCGATTTTGTAAAGCTAACATAAACTATTTGTTGTTTCTCACCAATTTTTCTCTTCCCTATAATTTTCTACTCCTTTTAAAAACACGTCAGAGAGGTCGCACTCAGGTCACTTTCCATCGTTCGTCTCCGTGTTGTTTTGGGGCGCCTCTTCTTTCTCTTTCCCTTTGGTATCCATGTGAGAGCTGTTTTGGCAGGTATATCAAGATTCCTTCTCATAAGGTGGCCAAGCCATTTCCATCTTCTCTTCGTTATCATACTGTCTAGAGTTTCTTGGCTCGTGACTTAAAGTTGTTTAGGGTTTGAGATTTTATCTGGCTAGAAAATGTTGATAATTCTAAGTAGACTTGTGGTGGAAGATGGATAGCTTGTGTGCATTCTTTTTGGTCATTCTCCAACCTTCTGCTCCATAAACGAAATGTAAATGGCACTGAGAAAATAAAAGTGACGTTTTACATATAATAATATAAATGCGACGTTTTACATATAATAATATGAATGCGACGTTTTACATATAATAATATAAATGCGACGTTTTACATATAATAATATAAATGCGACGTTTTACATATAATAATATAAATGCGGATTCTTACACAGAAGGAGGCGGGGAGCTCATGTTTCTTGTGGAGCACTTATCTGGCTGAAATTATTGAAGCAACGAATATTTATACTGCTCGCTAATGAATTACAACGAAAGAGGTTTGCCATAAAACTATACAGCACATTGGCAACTATGAACCTCTTTTAACTACAGTTAAAGTGCGAAAAATGCAATGGTATGGACATGTAATAAGATCTAACGGCCTCTCAAAAACAATACTGCAGGGCTCAGTAGAGGGAAAGAGGAGAAGAGGCAGACCAAGAAAGACCTGGTTACAGAACCTGACTGACTAGACAGGTTTCAGGCATGCAACCATGAAGTCCATCCAACTGATCGCCAAAGGTAAAGAGAGCTCATCAGACAGTCAACAGAAACTGGTGACCCAACGACACGTAGTGTTACGGGATGGTGATGAATGTATTACGTTAATTAACATTATAGCAGATGAGGAATAGGATGGAAATCAATAATACATTTAGTTAACGATGAAATGGTTTCGTCGTCTACCGAAAATGACTTTTTACCACCTGTCCTCAGTGAGCCACGCTGAATATAATAAAACAGATTTTAAAAAAAGCAAAATTAAATAGAACCGAAATGATAGCATCAAGAACAACTCAAAGAAATGAAGATCAGCTTATGCAACGCGTTAGAAAGAGCACAAAGAATTTCCTTACATCTCCTCAAATGCTTCGATGAGGTGAAGGGGTCACAGAAGAAGGGGATTCAGAAGAAGAAGAAAAAGCAGAAGAAAGAAAGAAAGAAAGAAAGAAAGAAAGAAAGAAAGAAAGAAAGAAAGAAAGAAAGAAAGAAAGAAAGAAAGAAAGAAAGAAAGAAAGAAAGAAAGAAAGAAAGAAAGAAAGAAAGAAAGAAATGGGAAACGTTAGAGAGGAAAAGACGAAGAGAAGAAGAAACGAAAAAAAGGAAGAAAAAGGAAAGAAGAAAGGGGAAGAGAACAAACGGAGTGTGTGTGCGTGTGCATGCGTGCGTGCGTGCAGCGTGTGTGTGTGTGTGCGCGCGCGCGCGTGAGTGGGTGCGTGTAAGTGTGTGTGTGTGGTTCGGGCTCTTGTCTGCCAAACAGTGAACTGGGTTTAACCCAAAGAAATCATCATCACGTGGCAGCTCCTTTGCAGAACGTCGCTCTCATCATAGCAGGCCAAAAGGCCAATCGATCCATGGTCAACCTTCCTGCCTCGGTAACATTAATGTCCAGGCTGTCTTTGATATCCTGTGTGTCCACGGTTTCGCTGGTCGTCCTCTGCCTCATCTCCCAAAAACTCTACCAGCCCCTACTGTTCTCCCCCAAAGCGATTACGACGTTTAATATGACCGACTTTTCTCAGTTTAACATTTCATGCAAATAATCCATGTCATTGAAGTTTAGAAACTCTTACTACGGTCAAGACCTCAGTTTTGCTGGCGTTAACTGTCATGTTATGCTTTTTGCAAATTTGGTTTAAACAATGTATATGGTCTTGTAGTTCAGTTTCTGAATGATACAGCGAAAATACATTGGCATTTCTAACTGAAGGACGAACAAAGTCACACACATTCATATGGTTTCTCTCACACACAGATACGCAAGTACATACACCTTGCATACGCACATACATACACACATACGCACGCAAACACAACATACACGCACATACGTACGCACACACAACATGCACACACAACATGCACACACACATACGCACGCACACACAACATACATACACACATACACACGCGCACACACAACATACACACGCAGTTACCGTGAAGAATGCATTCCTCGGACTTGGTCGGAAATCGCTGAACTGGACAATTACAGAAAACAGTTACACTACGTGCAGCACTACACATTACATCAGTACCTTACTTAACACGCTGACAAAGAACTGTCTTCTTCTTCTTCTTCTTCTTCTTCTTCGCGTTCACCAGCTGTAAATTTCGGCGGTAGGCTCTGGTCCATCGTCCACTTCTGGACTGTTGTCCTCTTCCAGAACCCGAGTGTTGCTTGTGCATCCGTTTTACACATCTGACTTATTTGAATGCAGACTGTTGGTTCCTTGCCTGTCAGGCAGATGCACTCAGACTTTGAAGTCGACTCATCCTACTTGCTTTTTGGGGAGGCAATGTGTCTGTTCTTGTTTTTCTCACAGTGTGGCCCCGGGACACAAACATGGAGCTGTGGATCTGAACCCACAACCTGCGACACTGCAGGTGCTGAATCATGTACTGGGTACATGCTTGTATGCAACCACAGCCTTTTTTTTTTTCGCTAGAGGGGCATGAGACATATTATGCTAGACTTATACTTTTGTAGACGGGCTAACACTTAACATCACCACGTCTGCTTTTGCTTCTTCTTCTTTCTTCACTTCCTCTTTTACCGCTGTGGGTGTCGAGGGAGATATAAGGTTCTGTTTCTAGCTTTTTTGGCCGCCTCGACCATAGGCACATCGTGCTGTTGTAGAGTTTCTCTGATGTTATCCTTCCATATTGTTCTTTGTCTACCTCATGGTCTACGTCCTTCTTCCCTTTCCATGTATGCTTTGTATGGTATGGTGTCACAGGGCATTCTCTTTAAGTGGGCAAACCATTTCACTTGCTGTCTTCGTATGTAATTTAGAATTGGTTCTGTGCCGACTTTTTCTCTTATGATTTCATTCCTTATCTTATCTCTTATGGTCACTCCTACAGCCCTTCTCAGACATCTCATTTCCATGGTTACTAAACTTCTTGTATGGTTTGTTGTGAGTGACCATGTCTGGCACTGGTAGCACAGAGTTGGAATAAATATGCTTTGAATAAGATGTCTCTTTGTGCTGATTGGGATTGTCTTATGCTGTAAGAGGGGAGCTAGCTGTACCAATACTTGGTTTGCTTTATTGCATCTAATGTTAATTTCTTTATCCAATTTCCCATCTTCGGTAAATGTAGTTCCCAGATATTTAAACTCAGATGCATGTTTAATGCCTTTGCACTCTATTGCTATGTTTAGATTTGTCTTCCTTTTTCCTATTGACATTACTTTTGTCTTTTCAGTGTTGATTCTCATATTATTTGTTTTATATTCTTCATTCATGGATGTTAGATGTTGTTGCAATTTCATGGCTGTATCTGCTATCAAGGCCTGGTCATCTGCAAAGAGTAATTCGTTGATCTTACTAACATTTTCAATCATGGGCTTGGCATTCTTGCATATACTGTCGATGTAGGTGATAAACAGCAGTGGTGATAAGACACACCCCAGTCTATTACTCCAGATGTTACTGTGAATGGATGAGATGTTCACTGATTTATCATAACTACACTTCTACAATCCCTGTATAAACTTTTGCACACTTCGATGAGGTGTTCGCTTACTCCATATCTTGCCATTACTTTCCATAATAATTGTCTGTCGACTCTGTCAAATGCCTTCTCCTGGTTTACGAATGCCACAAATAGGTTCTTATTGTATTCAATGTTCTTTTCTATTAACTGTTTAAGTGGGAAGATTGCATCTGTGCAGCTTCTATTTCTCCTAAATCCCATCTGTTCTTCTGCCAGCTGTGGTTCTATCACTGGTCTCAGTCTTGTTTCTATTATCTTGGCATACATTTTGCCAGCATGGCTTAAAAGAGAGATGCCTCGGTATTGACCGCATTCTCGTTTGCATCCTTTGTTCTTCCACAATGGTATAACTATTGCATGTTGCCAATCAATAGAGGCAGTTTGTTGTACCCTTGCTGCATTAAATATTCTGTGAAGCCATCTGATGCTGCTTTCACCTGCTGTTTCAATTATGTCTGTTGGTAATCTATCAGCTCCTGGTGCTTTATATTTGGGAGACTGCTTAATGACTTTTTCTATTTCATCCATTAGTATGTGTGGTTCTAACACTGTTGCTCTGTGCTCTTCATTTGTTCTTTCCTGATGATCTCCTCGAGGATTAAAGAGCTCATTGAAGTATTCCCTCCATCTTTCTGTTATCTCGGGTGGATCTATCATTGGCCTTCCTGTTTTATCATTAATTATTTCAGTGGGGTTGTAGCTCTCATCTTTTTTCCGCATATTTGTAACTACATGTTCTTTGCAAAATTTTCTGCAGGCTGTTTTCTTATTTTCTGCTAATGACTCACCGAAACGTTCACAGGATGCTTGTTTTGCTTTCTTGACACTCCTGTTGGTTTCTCTCCTTTGCAGTCTATAGTTTATAAAATCTGCTTCTTTCTATGATTGTATCCACTGTTTATATGTCCTTTTTCTTTTTAATTGCGTCTTTTACTCCTTCGCACCACCAAGGTGAATATTTGTTATTTCCCCGTCTGTTTCCACTCTTTCGTTTTCCACATAATTCTTCTGCAATACTAAGCATAGTGTTTTTATATTTACTCAATTCTTTCTCAATATTGCCAACTACATGTGGAAGTTGTTTGAATGCTGTCTCTACTTTCTGTTGTAACTGTTCTTTTACTCCTTCCTTTTTCAGATTTGCTATCTTGATCAGATCCTTGTTTTTGATTCATTTCTTTCTGTGTTTCTTTAATGTAAAATGTATTGCTGTTAACACAACTATTTTATGGTCAGTGTCAGATAGACCATTAGGGATTGCTCTTGAATCAAGAATTCTCCTTCTTCCTTGAACTCTGGTAAGTATAAAGTCAATCTGGCTCTTGATGAAGACATCATTCCATTTTTACCAAGTGTCAAGTTGTGAATCTCTATGGTCAAAGAATGTGTTCGTAATAAAAAGATTGTGCTGGCTGCATAGATCCAATATTCTTTGACCATTTCCATTTCTATCACTGTTCTTAGCTGCATGTGGACCTAAAAACTGTTCGTATTCTTTTCTGTTATTTCCTACTCTCCCGTTGAAGTCACCCATTACATATAGTATGCTACTTCCCTAAACTTTCTTTATCTCATCAGACAGATCGTCAAAGAATTTATCTTTCTGCTTTTACTTCACATGATTATTCCTGTTATAATTTTGAGCCGTGGTCAATTCGTACAAATCTGCTTCCATGCGAATTCGAACCTAGTGCCACTGGCCCGCATGCAGCGCGCTAGTTACTGAACTTTTGAGATTCTGCTTCTGAAAGGCGAAGACACGACATATGGAAAATAGCTCCTATAATATCTAATGAAAAGAAATCTAAGTAAAATTGTCTACCCTTTATTATTGAAAAAATCTACAGAAAGACTCAGCAGCGCTCTAGGGTTGGTTGGGAAAACATGGAGAACGACTGGTCTGGTCTGGTAGTCCTAGTTTCAGCTTCATAGCAAACGGGTCACCCCATCTTTGCACCACTCCCGTGCCAACAAAAAATACACAGAATGTTTATCACAGTCCCTTGTTAAAAGATTGACAGACTGCTGTCTCAGCATCTAGCATACACTGGTATTAAAGCATATCGTAGCCATCCGAAGTGCTAACACAAACAGTCCGACATTAGAAATGCAGTTCATCATTGATGGTAGCAGAAGTCACCAACAGATCTGCAGTTGCCCATGCGATGAATTTTAATCACATACGGGTACCACCAAAACTGCGACGTCAGCCATCGCGCCATTTTCTGAATCTACAATTCACACCACCACGTTGGTCACAGTAAAAAAAAACATTCCAAATGAAATCCGCAGCTCACAGTGTCACGCCATGCATTCAACTCAGAAGCTGGGCGACGAAACTATATCTAGTCTACAAATGGAACAAAAATGCATCGGCCACCGTCCGGCAGAAGCAAAAAATTTGCCTCGGCTCCAAAAACAGTGGCCCGCCTAGCGTCCATTTTGACCGGAGGTCTTTTTTTTTGTTTAGCGACTAGACGTTCGCCTGAGGATCGGAAGGTCGTGGGTTCGGGTCCTGACGGGGCCGGACTTATTTTTGCCCAGGTATACTGACCCAGTTTTACTTCCCGTCCGCGATCTGCTTTTATGTAGGTCAGTACCTGTCTATTTAATCCTCTCAGAGCTTCATCAGCGACCTAGAAAAGTATCAACTGCTTAGTATAAACCTGTAGCTTATTAGTATTTTGTTATAGTCGTTTACATTATATTCTAATGTAGAAATTTCAAAGTTATTGTATATTTGTGTGTGTGTGTGTGTGTGTGTGTGTGTGTGTGTGTGTGTGTGTGTGTGTGTGTGTGTGTGTGTGTGCTGCGTTGTCATTGCTGATGAAGGTTTTTCGCCACAACGTCCCTTATTTGTAACTGAATTTGCAAAGCTGACATAAAATATTTGTTTTTTCTTAGTCTTTTTCTTATCTTTCTTATAATTTTCCTACCCTTTTTTAAAGCAGAAAACAAAACACACAAAAATTACAGTAACACGTTCTTACCGCTGAACTCGCCGAATTTTCTCTAGATGTGACTTTTTTGGAAGACTAGAAGTGAATACAATAGTAGAAATAACTTTTAAAGACGCCATCAGATTAAGGCTACTTCTAAAGATTTATTACAAAGATTAGGAAGTGACTATACACTCGAAGTAGTCAGATGAGGTCGTCAGACGTGTTCAGTCATGCATTCGACTGCTTGGGGAGACGGGGGTAGCTCTGGGGGGAAATACACTAATTGCAAAATAAAATTCTTGCCCTCCGTTTTGTAGTGCAAGAGATTCTAACTACGCATTCTTCGCAAACAAATCCATTTCAGTCGGCCAACTACTAAGTTGAGTGCCAGGTGCGGCACTTTGAGCTGTGGATTCCACGGGTAATGCTCTCGGCTTTATGTAGTTTATACTTCATTTTCGGAAAATAGGTAGTGGCAGATCGCCAAATTATTTGCGGTGTGCCTTATATAATAATACGTTTGCATCTGCTGGTTTGTCGTGACTATTGCTTCCATCAAAATTGAATTGTAACTCTAGTGACAGACTATTTGAGCTGGCACTTCTAGCAGCAGCCTTATGCATTTGATGAGTGTGCGAAACAGAAAGAAAGAAAGTAAGATAGATAGAAAGAAAGAAAAGACAGAAAGAAAGAAAGAAAGAAAGAAGAAGAAGAAGAAGAAGAAGAAGAAGAAGAAGAAGAAGAAGAAGAAGAAGAAGAAGAAGAAGAAGAAGAAGAAGAAGAAGAAGAAGAAGAAGAAGAAGAAGAAGAAGAAGAAGAAGAAGAAGAAGAAGAAGAAGAAGAAGAAGAAGAAGAAGAAGAAGAAGAAGAAGAAGAAGAAGAAGAAGAAGAAGAAGAAGATGATGATGATGATGATGATGATGATGATGACGATGATGAAAGAAAGAAAGAAAAAGAAAGAAAGAAAAAGAAAGAAAGAAAGAAAGAAAGAAAGAAAGAAAGAAAGGAAAGAAAGAAGATGATGATGATGAGCTTGAACGTTTGGATAATAAGAGAGCAAAGGATGGGTGTAGGTGAGGACGGAGAGGTGAAAGGGCGGGGGAGGGGGTGGTGAGGCTTAGAAATAACATTTCCGAAGTAAAAACGTTGATTCCCAAATCGAAGAGATGCTTTTATTCCAGCTTCAGCTTGCTACACGCAACCGCTTTTTAAAGCTTGGATATCTTGGAAATCTTTGCATGGGGCGTTTTAGTGCAAACGCGGACGTATCGAGAACTCACTATCACCCAAATCATTCACTCTCGTGCCCGGTGTGAGCGTCCGCGTTACAGTTCATCGTACTGGTCAACGAAGTCAACGGATATAATAGCTGACGTCAAATGGTAAATACGTGTGAAACGAACACTCGATGAAAACATAACATCAATTCTAAGAACACGTTTACAATGACGATAGTGAATTTGGCAGAGATTTAAATAACAATGAAAGTAAATGCTGATTTTGTTTAACACATTGAAATATTTACCCAAGTTTGGGACGAATCTTTTCTGTGCTTCGACATCTGTTGCAGGAAGAGAAGGTATCAACTAATTCAGTTACATCTGACTAATGTTACTTTACTTTGCATTACCTGCAGTCATAGTATATTATTGTGCCAATCAGTAATCGTTATAATAATGTGGCTTACTGTATATAGTTTAATGTGAACATAAAATTGTAAAATGTTACTGTTTTGAGATAATGAATAAATCAAGAATTGAAAGCACTGCACTGAGCTAATATTCCCAAACGTGCACCGTCTCTCCCCCTCCTCCCCTCACCCCCTCCCCTTCCTTCCCCCCCCCCCAACAACTTTTTTTTGTGTCGGTAGCCAAAGAAAAGTTTCACACTGATGGTGCCTTATGCAGCCTCCCTGAAAGTTTATCTGTTTTTCCTTCTTGCAGGTAGGACTTTATTCGGCACTCCTCCGAATATAGTTAGTTGCGTATCCTTTACAGGACGTTGCAGAACCAGCCCCAGCATTTTGTGGCTGTTGTGGTTTTTCTTGGCAAATTTACCTCCAGCAGCTTGCCATTGATTTGTGGACGGTCGGCTTCTCGATACCACTGTTGAAACCAACGCAAGGCGCAAGGATCGAACCCGGCACCCCGCCATTACAAAGCTCGTTCGCAACGCCTAAGCCACAGACGCCGACCTCCTCCGAATAATGACCCCAAATTATCTGGGTTAAAAAAAAACTACGGTTACAGGGCCTCACTTGTTTGACTGTTAGGGATGGGATTGGGGTTAGGACTAACCCTAACACTGGCATTTTAAAAAAATGTGTCACAACAGTCCAAACGCGAAACTATCGACATCGTACATTTGCAACAAGAACATTCTACTGTGTTTCGAATTAATCTGTGTGTAGCAAGCCAGTGCAGCCACTGTAGATTATTATAAATGGTGATACTAACGAAGGTCTCCCCAAACAAAGAAAGTCACGTCTCATTCATCAGTTTGATGGGCTGGTCTATATTTCTGAAGGCTACGGGTGTGCCGCTCTGTTGTTTGCTTTCTGGTTTCTCTTGCATTTACTTTTTTTATTCAGAGAAAGAGAATGTAACATAGATTGCACCACTCTCTAGTGGGGTTGCGTTACACCCAGTTTGTCCATGCTTTTGGAGTGCTAAAAGCGCTGGCCTGCTGAAACACACAACACGTGAAATCAACGTAAATTCAGAAAACTCCCGTTACCTTGTGTCAAGGTAACGTGGCTCAAGATCGACCACTCACAGTCAGACCACTTTGTAAATGGGGAGACTAACGTTAGTTTTACCACATATATTTAAGTAGTCAGGTCTAACATCTACAGCTGCCAGTTCATTAATCGGTAAAACATTATTGCTAATCTATGTCAGAGCTGATGGTCTGCCTGCCATATGAGCCAGAAATAAATCCATCCTAATTTTACATATCATTGAGGCCCTGTAAGGGTACGATGTTGACCCAAATAATTTTGGGCCGTTATTCGGAGGAATGCCTTTTATTCAGACTTCTCCTCACGGGCAGCGGAATCATTCTCTCCACGTCTGGATGCTCTGCCTGTTCTGCTGCAATGTTTAATTGATTCCAGAAAGCCTTTGCAAAGTTTTTAGCAAAGTTGCTCACCGCTCAGAGGGTCTGCAACAGCTAGTATATCAGCCTGCTCCTTACTTCGTACACCCGACTATCCTGGGCAAACAATTTACATTATGCTGATTTTTCTGAGATTATCATACGAAGCAATCCACTTTGAGCACAAGACTTCAGTTCCTACTTTCCGAAGAAAGCACCGTGAATCAGCTGTAATTATTATTAAAATTAAAAAAAAAAAAAAAACACGGATAAAACTCCTGCCTGCGTGGTTCCGCTAGAAAATTGTGTTTTAGACATACATCATTATCATCATCATCATGTGCCCTGACAACTGGCGTAGGCGCTCATGCCTCTGCACAGATCAAGATCCCTGGTTGACTGGAACAGCTCTCTTGATGATATCCTTCCCTGCCATCGTTTTAACCCATCCAGCTCTCATATCTCTTGGTCTGCCTCTACCCCTTTTCCCACTGATCTTTCCAGTTTGTCACGTTGTTCTCCAATGTCTCTCTTCTCATTACGTGGCCAAAGAACAGTGTCTGTCTCTTTCTTATTGTTGTATATAGAGATCTACCTTCATTAGCTTCTTTCAAGCAAGCGTTGTTAGTTATTCTGGCCGTCCAAGGTATTCGTAACATTCGTCTCAGAAACCATATCTCTTTTGCTTCTAAATTCTTCCTAATTTTAGTAGTACAGGCGGTACTAAATGTGTGTAAAGACATCATAGCGTATATTAAGTATTAAAACGTGTGAAAAGAAGAATATTTGTAAGCAATAACCTTGTGTGATTTGACTGACAGCTCCCCCGAAGATCTTTTTTTCACAGGTTGTTCACATATTTCTGACTTATCCCCTCTGTCCATTTTGTCGACTGGGTCTTCATCCTTCTGTGGTGTTAAAGCATAAACGGTAGAGGTCATGAGAACACTCGCGCACGCGTAAACACACAAGCGAAAGCACAGTATTGTCCATAAATATGATACAAAGCTTGAAACATGTGTGTGCAAAATGTCAGCATCATAGTTTATCGAGAAATAGTATAAACATCGAACGCAAACGGCCCCCTAGACAAACCAACAAACAATTTGAAACACAGTAAAAGCTTATAAAAACAGTATGTAACGATCCTTACCCGCACAGGATTGCACTCCACCAGGCTTGTGCAGCAGTCACAGATGTTCCTGTAAATAGTTCTATGGCGATTCTTCTTCTTCACGTTCATCGAATGTAAACTATGCCGGAAAGTTCTGGTTTTTGTCAAATTCGTGACTTTAGTTTTGTTCCAGAACTTGAGTTTTGCGTGCACATCCGTTTTACAGACTGTCTTATTTATCTGCAAAATATGAGAAGGCGAGGGAAAGGCCTAGAGGGTCGAGTTCAAGGTGAGAGGAATAGTTAGCTTCCTGCCGACAGCGTCGTACAGAGCATGGCCTTCGTAGCTCCGTTGACAATCCCAAGAGATCTCCGTAAAAACTGCACTTATGAACTGAACGGCGCCGCCTTTAAACGTACCCACGAAGACCAAGAAAGAGATAGATAAATGGTGCAGATAATCGCCGTGAAAGGGAACAAATTCATCACTCAAGCCCCCCTCTCCCTTTTTCCCGAGAAGCTGAGATGCGAAAGACAAATACAGGAATCGGGCTAATGGGCCTATTCTTTGACATCGTATACAGCTCACCCCATGTAATTTCTTGTTCCCATTCTTCATGGTGTATGTGTGAGTATGTATCTGTGTTTGTTTGCCTCTCTTTATTTGCGTTCCCGGTTAAAGTTGCGTTAGTCTTCCCACGCCCCGCCCATATACATACTAGCTCACTTCTGATTGATAGTTCTGGAACCTGCCACCTTGGCACAAGGTTACAGGGATGTTCACAAACTTGTGAATGAAAAGTGACCTACTTTGTTTGGGGAGATTTATGTGAACCTAACCCCGCTCCATTGTAAAGCCCTTCTAGTTTTTTTTTTTTTTTTTTTTTTTTTTTTTTTTTTCTCGACTTGTCTCTCCAAAAACTCCACTTTAGTAATTCTCTCAAACCAGTTGATTCCTTGTATTGTGTATGAACACTATTTAAAGAGTGTAGATGATGTGTTAACCTTGATTAATGTAAGTCGCTTAAAGCTGTGTCGTCGTGTGGTATAGAACACGCGACATCAGTGCTGATGTCATTGGAGTCAAGACAATGCGACACCCCTTAGACGTAGAAGAGTCTGAGGAAGTATGAATGAAAGGTCAGGTAGTGTGTTGATGAGCCGGGAAACGTGAACCGGACCGAACTATTTAGTTAAATACCGTATCATATGTTTACGATACCAAAAAGAAAAAGAGAAGGTTAGGGGTGGGAAAGAGGCGGGGGGGGGGGGCGAACTGCTCTTTCGCTTGACGTGAGCCCAACGTAATGGAAGGGTGGGGATGGGCGGAGGTTAGTTAATATTTATTCCTTTATCGTTACCAGCAAGTGCCTTTCTGACATGTGGGCGATCATGCCTGACACAACCTACCATTTTTAAAAGCATGTATCAGTTCGTCTGCTGACCCTCCTCCATGCCACGATAAAAGGCTATTAAAAAACCTCTCTCGTTGTCTGGACTGTTTGTTCTATAGATCTTTCTAGTCATCACAACAAGTTCTAGTTTTCTTCTTCTCATAACATGATTTTTTTAAATGACGACCGTCTCTTTCTGATGTTTCTGATAAGTTGTCATAGAACACTCGCCTGTTTGAAAACTTACTGGGTTGTTCTTGGAATTCTAAGAATTCATTAGAAAAACTACATCTCCGAAGCCTGAAAAAATGGTTTGTCTTGTTTTATTAACTGCCCATGACCACGCCGGCTCCCTTACATTTCTGTGCTTGTCTTAAAATAACGCCCGTGACTTTTTTTTACAAACAGTTAGGCACTATTCTTTTCTTTGATTTAACACTGCCCGCTAGGACACAGGTCAGGTCAGGTCAGGTCTGGGTCAGATGTAGCTGAGCAACAGTAGTCGGCAGTACCTAGTCTTGGTTAACGCTGAATGTTGGGGGACGCATATTAAACCAAACATCTCACAGCTGGGGCTACGTGGTCTCGAGGCATGGTGTCCGCCTCGAGTGCTAGAGGTTCCCGGTAAGGGCTGTGTTTTTTTCACTTGAACTTAGACTTCTAGTATTTCCCCCTTGTCTCTGGGTAGTGAGATCGGACGCCTTGTTGCGCACGTAAAAAAAATCCTTTGGCAATTGGAAATTGAAAAGAGCAGCCTAACGGCGCTGCATTGGCAAAAATTTAGTTAAAAATCTACCCAAAGTATTTTAGTATCCTAGGCGGCGCTACAGAGTTCGTGCACTCTCCGGACTCAGACTTGGGTTAGAAGAAGAACGGATCACTTATGGGTTACTACGCGTGTGTCACGATGTTGATCCGTTGTTTAAACCTCAGACATCCTATTGGGATCTGACAGCTTACGAATCATGCTTTTCTTCAAACATGCCGGTGCTACTTTTTCTTTGCAGTAAACAAGATAGATCGAGAGGGATCACGCTGTATAAAAACACATAGTCCTTTCAGTATTGCCTATGTTATGTGCTATTGAGAGGAGGAATTATATCCCTGGGTTTATTTGGCTATGATTCACTTAGGAATCATAGCCAAATAAACCCAGGGATATAATTCCTCCTCTTAATAGCACATAACATAGGCAATACTGAAAGGACTATGTGTTTTCTAGCACAGTATAACGCTTTAGACTGGAAAAATGGAGAGATGCAACAAGATGAGGCAACAAGAGAACAAACAGAGCAAGCACCAAATACCCTACCCTGCTGGTGTCTCTTGATTTCGACTTGTGCGTCTTCGTCACAAACAAATCCTGGAATAGTTGTTTAACATTGTCAGATGGCAGTTTTATAGTTGTCCAAACTTTTCAGATGAAGACATGAAAACTTATATTTTAGAGGGGTATTATACTTCGAAGAAGCAGTATGCTGTAAAATGAATTAAGGTTGTTCTGTGTCCTTTATAGAATGTTGAATGTAACAATTTGAAGTAAGAACCGACATCACGGCACTCGGACACTTTCATATATGCTCAGTCCATATCTTTATCCTTTCCCTGAGTGTTGAGCGTCGACCAGATCCCCTGGTAATTCCCCGCAGCGCCATTCTCTTTAGACCGTAATGATCTATGTGTCCTATATAGGACGTTGCTGAACGAAATCCTGCAATTTTTTGGTCATCTGTGATTTCACTAGGTAATGTTTACGTTCAGTAGTTTGCCACTGCTTTTTTGCACGGTCGACTCTAGATACCACTGTCAAAGCCAAAGAAAGGCAATTCTCAGTATATTGTAGAGTGAGTATAACATTTAGATGGAACAGTTTTTCACAGAGAGAGAGATACTATATGGTAGAAGAGGAAGTGTGTTTTTAGAAGGAACAATATAATATACAAGGGAGGGGGAAAAAACACATTTCAGACATAACATCATGGTGTATGGCTAATATATTGCACTCATTGTGTGTCTGTCGTTTAACCTCAACAGGACCGTACAACGAGAAACCAACACTCGCTGACACAAAGTGCCACTATTTTGACGAGGATCAACCGCGCACAGGTCTCAGAAACCCCGTTCAACCGTTATGTTATATTATAGCCCCTGACTACAGTCGAGGTGGGGTTTATAAATAACGAAAAATTGCATCTCACATTGCGGCAGGAATGGCAGTTAACAGAAAGACACAAAGTGTAAATGCATAAAAGAGTTGAGTGGGAGCAGACAACAAACAGACCACGTAGACTGCAAAGAGATAATATACCGACACACCTAAAAATACTCCGAGTCACCAGCTGGCAAAAGAAGGCCAGTCTCAGGGATAAATGGAAGGGGTGATCTCCAATAATGAACCTCTCAATATAATTGCCCTTTTTCGCCCGGGATAGCGAAAGAAAGTCTTATTCTCCAATCCGCAACCTCAACTTTGTTTTCACCGCTGCCCTAATGTAGACCTGTTCGACATAAGGGTCTAACTAAAAACCCATATTTAATATCCCGACTTCTACTTCATCGTTGTATCCAACGCTGTTGTATCTTTAGTCACAGCCCCTAAGTGCCCCTAACACTTAACGCCAGTGTTTAACAATTTGGGAGATACGTATTGTCTTAGACACAAATAGATATATGGTTTCAAGGAAGAAAAAAGCGAAATACAATTTTTTAAATTACTTTTTCAAGAGATGTAATATGAAGAAATATTCAAAAGGAAATAACTCCAACGAAAGTTTACTTTTACTTATTGTCACAATGAATAAAGAAATGCACCATAACCTGGCCCGCCAATGTGACTGTTTCATTAAACACTGTAGTCGTAATGGCAAATGAAAAAGTAATCTGTGTATTGGTCAAGGTTTGGGAGGTGTTAACACTTCCTTTATAATAAATATGTGTGTGTGTGTATATATATATTACAGAATGGGTAATGCGTGTTGGTTGGCGTCCCTGGCTTAGAATCTGTTTTGTCGGTCCAGCCTGAAATGGGTTCCAGGGAGTTTCCCAGAGGTAAACGCGACCGGCATTGTGTCAATAAACCTAGCACTGAGCACCACATACAATAATACGTTACGCGTCAGATATACTGGCCTGACAGAAATAAGATTTCTTTCGGAGATATGCTAGTATAAGTGATGTTTGAGTATTACTGTTAATACTTGTGATATTTTAGAATTATGTCTGTGCTGATGAAGGCTTTCTGGCTGAAAGGTTCACTAGTGGTTTGTGATGTTGTGAAGCTGACTGGTTTGACTTTTCGCCTGGTATGATATCTTTTCATTGGGGCTGAGTGGTCTCGAGGCATGGCGTCCGCCTCGAATGCTGTAGGTTCCCGGTTCAGGACCGACGAGGATTTGTTTCACGTGAACTTCTAGTTAATTTCCCCTGATCTTTACGTAGTAAGATCGGACGCCTGTGTGTACTGTTGCGCACGTAAAACAATCCCTTGGCAGTTGGAAATCGAAGAGAGTGTCCTAACAGCGCTGCCCGGGCGAAATTATGACTTCAAAATAAAAATCTACCCAAAGTATTTCAGGATCCTCGCCGGTGCTACGGAGTTCATGCACAACCCTGAGATTCTTCGTACTCAGGCTTGAGTTGGAGGTAGAACGGAGCACTTATGGATTACTAACCTTGTGTCATGATGGTGATCCGTTGTATAAACCATATACCAAACCATAAACCATCTTTCCATGACTTGTTCATGACCGAACATGGTGCTTTACTTTAGATTTATTCGTAACAAGTTGGAGTACAGCCGTCTGAGAGACGAGGAACAAACATACTGCCTAGAAATAAGCCAGATCTGTAGAATAGATAGCCACGAAAAACAAGTTCTGGAACAAGACCAAATTCCATAAGTGGATGAACACACATCACTTTCTGCCAGAGAACAGCGGCTGAACGTCAAGACGAAGAGACTTTGATCAAAACTATCAGTATACACGAAAACATGGCAGGATATCGCTTACAAAGAGCCAGGTTGAGGTCAGGCATGGCTAAAAGACATAGTATAGCAGAACTCGCTACTATCTGTTTGTTCTCTGTCGCCGAACGTTGGGAGGAATATGCAAAACTTGACATCCGACTTGTGCCAGCGGCTTCGGCCGAAGGAAGGCATAAGCCTTTTCCTAGGACAGCGGTTCCCAACCTGCCAGTCGCGACCCTTTCACAGGGGTTGCACAAGAACTTCACCAACCACATTTCTATTGAATTTATGAAGGAAAATAATTGTTTGAGGGTCGCCACAACATGAGGGAGCGGCGTCTGTGGCTTGGGCGTTGGGAGTCCGACTCGTAATTCCAACATACTGCGATCGAAACCCACCGCTGGCTGCATGGATTTTTATCACAGTATGGGGTGTAGGAGGTCGGGACAGCTAGTGCCGATGGTCTGTAAAATATGGGCGTTCTTCCCATATACCCGATACGCTTAAAGGCGTGAAAAGGGATCTTTACTTACCCTACTTTACAACATTAGGGAAATGTATTGGAGGGTCGCGGTTTTAGGAAGGTTGAGAGCTACTCTCCTAGGACAAGGAGTTACCACATGAGAACTTTATGTTATGCAGGACAGAACAGGCCCTCAGCCTTAGTTGTCAGCTGGTTTAGAAGTGAAGTTCCTTGCTGGCGGACAGTTAAAGCACTTGGGCTTCTAATCCATCAGCTTGTGCAGCCTGCTTGGTTCCTTACGTGCTGGTCTTACCTGTCCTGTAGAGTTTAAACACGCAGACCAAGCGAGGGATTATGTTGCATGGGCCGTGCGTGGTCTCTACAACAGTGCCCAGGTTGTTTTTTTATATGAAAAGAAGGAACTGCATAATCATTATGTAGCAGATCCTTTGCAGAACGTCGCTCTTTTTACGGTCTGCCTAAAAAACAAAATTTGGTCTCTCACCAGATCGCCCGCCGCGCGTACTTTCATATTCAAAGAGTCACTTATATCTTGTGCTTATCTTCGTGTCGGTCAGCCCCTGCCCCTCCTTCTGGTACCATGCTTTCTGCTATAATTTTTTCCCCAAACCGCCAAGGCGCTTGACATTACCAAAATATTTCAGCTTCCGCGATAATATGCTGTTTACTAGACAATCTTCCTTGATGTTCAGATCTTTTAAAATTTCAGTGTTTCTTCTCTTCTCTGTCCATGGTATTCCGATAGTCTTTCTATAGCATTTTAGCTCAAACACCCCTATTTTCTATCTGAAGGACTGGGAGATAGTCCACGACTCACATCCGTATGTTGCTACAGGGAAGATACATGCTCTCAAAATTGTAATTTTGATTTTCTTGCTGGTGCTTAACAATTGACTCTCAATTCTTCATTACTGGTCTTTATTGGTATGGTCATGGTGTGTGATTCCAATTATGCCCTATAGCCCAATCTAGCGTTACCCTATAACCCAATCTAGCTTTACCCTATAACCCAATCTAGCTTTACCCTATAGCCCAATCTAGCGTTACCCTATAGCCCAATCTAGCGTTACCCTATAACCCAATCTAGCGTTACCCTATAACCCAATCTAGCGTTACCCTATAGCCCAATCTAGCGTTACCCTATAACCCAATCTAGCGTTACCCTATAACCCAATCTAGCGTTACCCTATAACCCAATCTAGCGTTACCCTATAACCCAATCTAGCGTTACCCTATAACCCAATCTAGCGTTACCCTATAACCCAATCTAGCGTTACCCTATAACCCAATCTAGCGTTACCCTATAACCCAATCTAGCGTTACCCTATAACCCAATCTAGCGTTACCCTATAACCCAATCTAGCGTTACCCTATAACCCAATCTAGCGTTACCCTATAACCCAATCTAGCGTTGCTTTCTAGACAGACAGACAGGTGCCAATAAACACTTACCATACTTAGCGGGGAGCGAATCTGAAGGCAAGTATCATCTACCGCAGCTTCTAGTTTCTTCTTCTTCTTTGCTGGCTTTTTAGGATGGTCGGATTTTCTTTTCTTTTTCTGAGGGGAAGCGGCTGGTGTTTTGTCGAGTTTCGTGTCTGCCTCAAAGTATGCTTCGTCCTTCTCGTGTGTGTGCCCAAAGTGGAATGGGTTCTGTTCTCGAAGTTACAAGATATTATAAAGTTGTCAGACAATGAAGGTTTAAGGTCGAGAGGATTGGCTTCATTGCACAGAGTCGTAACTTTCCGCAGAATAGCCTCTGTGAGTTTTGCTCGTACATCCGTTTTACTGTCTAATTTTGTGCAGTTGGTTGTTCCTTGCCGACCAGGCAGATTCACTTCGACTTCGAAGCCCCCACAAAGGGGCATCAGAAGTCACACAGGGAAGATGAACATTGAGCTAAACTCAGCTCAATAATGAACACTTGGAGCATTTTGATTGAATCCTTCGCTTAAGTGGGACATAAGGGACAGAAAAAGAAGAAGAATGGCATGTGCCTATATATTCCTAGTATCGCTGTAGACACAGAAGGCATTCACAAGTGATCTCCCTTGCTGCCTGTTTGCTGCCCATGTCATTTTACATTACTTACCTCCCTTTCTGTTGTCCTTCTCCGTGTTTGCTTGGGTCGTCCACGTTTCCGCTTCCCATCTGTCTTCCATCGGAGAGCTAACCTTGCCAAAGTATCTTGGATGTTGAATGTTGAATTAAGAATCGACATCACAGCACTCGGGACACCGCCATAAGTGTTCAGTCTCTATCTTCAGCAGCAAGCGAAGAGTTCCAATGCCGATGGTACCAGTAACCGTTTGATTGTTTATCCGTCTCATCCTTCCCCTGAGTGTTGAGCGTCGGCCAGATCCCCTCATAACTCCTTGCAGTGCCATTTACCTTAGACCGCAATGATCTATCGGCGCCTTCGCACTGTTCCCTCGCTCCCAAAGAGCCCTCACAATATCTAATTCGTCATACATCAAATGGTGCAGAGCCAGCCAGTCTATCTGCCTGATCATTTCCCAACACACCAAAGTCTCATAAAAAATTCTACAGACAGGTCCAAGCCATCTCCATCGTCTTTTAATAAAGTTTGCTAGTTATGAACAGGTAGATTTCCTTCTCAGATCTTCATTTTATGGTGAGTATACAGGGTATGTCGGCTCTGTGGCTAAGTCGATGCGAACGCTTCGCTTCGAAATGCCGGGATGCCGGGTTTGATCCCAGTTGCGGGCAATGCGCCTTGCGTTGGTTTCGACAGTGGTATCAAGAAAGCCGACCGTCCAGGGGCAATGGCAAACTACTGGACGTAAATTTGCCAAGAGAAACCACACAACAGCCAGGGGCTGTTAGGGTTGGTTCTGCAACGTCCTGTAAAGGATACGCAACTAACTTTAACTTTATACAGGGTATACGGTCAGCGTCAGTGGCTTAGGTGTTGTGAACGCGCTTCGTAATGCCAGGGTGCCGGGCTCGATACCAGCTGCCGGCGATTTGGAGGCAGACCGTCTTATGGTTGGTTTTTCCTCAAGAGCCGACCGCTGAGTCGCAGTACCAAACTACTGAACGTAAAAATGTGCCTAGAAAAACCACAACAGCCAAAAAATGCTGGGGTTGGTACTGCATCGTCCTGTAAAGGATTCGCAACTAAATTATACATGGTATAATATAATCATGTGCTCATTTAAAGCTAATTAAGTATGGGTATTAAGACAAATATTTTCCAAAGCAAATTTGGCACATACGTGGGACACTACAGAATGCCGCATGTAGCAGCTAGAAGTTGGCATGCCGATCCGAAGTCATTGGTTCAAATCCGAACGGAGCGGGCCTTTTTTTTTTTTTTTTTAGAAACGAACCTTGGCTACCAGGTCCACCCAGTCTTACATGGATCTCAGGTAAAGTCATGGAAAGTAAAAGCGACCAGCATGACATTGACCACATGACCCATTGAGTGCCGAATGGTCTATAAAATATAATTCTAGCACTGTAAGCCCAAAACGCAGGAAGGTGTGGAAAGGGTCCTTGCGAGGGACATTATATTGTTAATTAATCATCTAAATGCCATGCCCGCAATGAAGATGGCTGCAGTGTATCTCTGAACGTACTACAAACGACAACGGTGACAATAAATTGTGATGATTATAGTGTATTATTACTATTATCTTCATCCTCCTCCTTTTTCTTCTCCTCCTCATTTCGCCTCCTCCTCCTCCTTCTTCTTCTTCTTCTTCTTCTTCTTCTTCTTCTTCTTCTTCTTCTTCTTCTTCTTCTTCTTCTTCTTCTTCTTCTTCTTCTTCTTCTTCTTCTTCTTCTTCATCTTCTTTTTCTTCTTTCTCTTCATCTCTTTTCAGCATTACGAATCCATAAGGTTCGTTACTGCAGATATCATCAGTCTACATTCCTCTGCAAAAAAATAAATAAATAAATATTCTCTTGATTTTGACCCATCATCCATCGAGTACTTAATCGTCGTCTTCTTCTTCAGCATTCTGAGCCCTTGAGGTTCATTGCTGCAGATATCAACCTTCTCCATTCATCTCTTTGGTTGGCCTTATCACGTCGCCTTATCTTTCCATTTGGTGACACCAAGTGCTAAAAAGCCTAAAAGATTACTGGTCTAAGATTATATACACGATTCGCTTTCTTTTGTCTAGTGCTTGTTCTATCTTTCAGCGGCGTCAGGTTGGGAAGAAGCATCTGGCGCAGTGTTGCCATTTTGGATGTTTTACATCCAGATTTAGATGTTTTCCCTTGCATTCAGATGGCGTTTTTGCCGTTTAGATGGTAGATGTTTTTCTAGACGTTTTCATTTGGAGTGAATTTATCAAATCTAACCTAAGAAACAGGATGAAATTTGACCTCTTAAATGCTATCTTGAAAATAAAATTCGCCTCATAAGAGTAGGAAAAGGTTGTACCACCTATCAGCTCCCTGATCAGGTGTTAAAAGAAATTGGAACAGCTAAAGCCTCCTAGAGTCATTTTGGATCTGAAGCTTCAACTTCATCATCCAAGCTAAGTTTATCCTGTGGATCTTGTAAGGCAGACTTCATTAAAGATGAGGACATGATTCAATAGGGTAAGTCATATCAACTGCTTTGTAATTTGTGACTCTTTCCATTTGGATGTTTTTTTCTAGATGTTGTCCACTCAAATTTGGATGTTTTTAGATATTTTTTGACTCCGTTTTGGATGCTTTTGTCAAAGAAAAGTAGCAACACTGATCTGGTGCCCATCCTGGTGTGTGTTTCGTAGATGCTGGTTTTTCACGTTTCCAGATATTTCATCTGTCTATCACTGGTTTGCTGTGTTCCAGCTCTGCATCCACTAGGTCTGAGAGAGAACTCTTTATAATGCGCCGTCTACTGGCAGTCTTTTGATCGGTTGTTTCTTGATGTAGCACTTGTTCCATTCTAAAGCAAAACTATAGACTTTTACAGTGGTAGCCACAAACTGAAGAGCACCTATTAGAACATCTTCTTCTTCTCCACGTCCTCTTTTACCACATCGGGTGTCGAGGGAGATATAAGGTCCTGCTTCGGGTGTCGAAGGAGAAATAAGGTCCTGCTTTAGGTGTCGAAGGAGAAATAAGGTCCTGCTTTAGGTGTCGAAGGAGAAATAAGGTCCTGCTTCGGGTGTCGAAGGAGAAATAAGGTCCTGCTTTAGGTGTCGAAGGAGAAATAAGGTCCTGCTTTAGGTGTCGAAGGAAAAATAAGGTCCTGCTTTAGGTGTCGAAGGAGAAATAAGGTCCTGCTTTAGGTGTCGAAGGAAAAAAAAGGTCCTGCTTTAGGTGTCGAAGGAGAAATAAGGTCCTGCTTTAGGTGTCGAAGGAGATATAAGGTCCTGCTTCGGGTGTCGAAGGAGATATAAGGTCCTGCTTTAGGTGTCGAAGGAGAAATAAGGTCCTGCTCCGGGTGTCGAGGGAGATTTAAGGTCCTGCTTCAGGTGTCGAGGGAGATATAAGGTCGTGCTTTAGGTGTCGAAGGAGATATAGGGTCCTGCTTCGGGTGTCGAGGGCGATTTAAGGTCCTGCTTCGGGTGTCGAGGGAGATATAAGGTCCTGCTTCGGGTGTCAAGGGAGATATAAGGTCCTGCTTCGGGTGTCGAGGGAGATATAAGGTCCCGCTTCGGGTGTCGAGGGAGATATAAGGTCCTGCTTCGGGTGTCGAGGGAGATATAAGGTCCTGCTTCGGGTGTCGAGGGAGATATAAGGTCCTGCTTCGGGTGTCGAGGGAGATATAAGGTCCCGCTTCGGGTGTCGAGGGAGATATAAGGTCCTGCTTCGGGTGTCGAGGGAGATATAAGGTCCCGCTTCGGGTGTTGAGGGAGATATAAGGTCCCGCTTCGGGTGTCGAGGGAGATATAAGGTCCCGCTTCGGGTGTCGAGGGAGATATAAGGTCCCGCTTCGGGTGTCGAGGGAGATATAAGGTCCCGCTTCGGGTGTCGAGGGAGATACACGGTCCTGCTTCGTGCTCTTCTGGCTGCCTCGACCATAGACGCGTAGTGGGGCTGTAGAGTTTCTCTGATGTTATCTACCTCTTGTTATACGTCCCTCTCCTCTTTTGGTATGTGCCTTCTAGGGTAAAGCATCCGAAGGCATTTTCTCCAAGTGGGCAAACCATTTGATTTGCTGTCTTTGAATGTAATTTATAATTGGTTCTGTGACGACTTTATCGCGTATAACCTCATTCCTAATTTTATGTCTTTTCGTCACTCCTAACAGCCTTTTTTAGACACCTCATTTCCATGGTTACCTAGAAGACGGGTTTCCCATTAATTGCATTAACTCCTATTGTCATCATCATCATCGAAAACCACACATGCCGTTAAGCGTCGTGGAAAAGAATAATTTGCGATACAGTACACACTGGCTGCCACTAGCTATTGAAGGCGTAGAGTGTCTTTAATGTTGTCGACGAATGTTTTTCGCGGCCGTCCTCTTGCTCGCTCTTGTAACTGATCTTATTAGATAACTGCTGTTGTAAGGCCCACTAATTGCAATCACTGCAGTCTACTGCTGTAAACTGTGAAAACATTATTATGTTCCAGCTGAGCTCCTTGAAGGAGGGCTAAGGTTTTTTTTTTTTTTTTTTTTTTTTTTTCTGTTTTTTTTTCCCAGTTTTCTTGCGAACAAGAAATCCAGAGACAATACTGCTGAAACAAGTTTTCGCGGTCTGAGCTGTGTGCTTCATCCCTAATTTAAAAACGTTTTCGCCATTTTCTTGCGAACATAAAATCCAGAGTTAATACTGCTGAAACAAGCAGATGGTATTCCAGTCGTCCCCATGTGGGATGCAATTTTTTTTTTATTATTTGAAGCCCCCACCCTGGCTGTTACCGGAATATACTGAAAACTGAATATAGCCGGGCCATAAATATGACCTAACGGCTGAAAGAGGTTTCTGGGAGTTCTCTACGGGTGATCCCCATCCGCATGGTGACACTTTGTGTCACCGGATGTTTATCGCTTGTTTATTCTAGTGGGGTACAACTGACATAATACAAGCAGACTGCACCCAAAACAGCATCAGTCTGTGCTTTAACAGTTTATTACGTAAGATTAATGCAATTAGCTGCATTGATTGAATTTCTTTTATCCTCAAATAGCAGCTAAGGTAATTGTCTACAGCTTGCAAACATTCATTATTTACTTCTTTTTTTTTTTTTTTTTGCCCCCTCCAATCTTTGAATGCTTCGCGGCGTCAGGACAGGAAGAGATCTCTGGAACGGGCCCTTGCGTTCACTTTGAATAAAGTGCTTTTCAGTGTCACTGATATTTCTTCGATCCATGTTCTGCGTTGTCGACCTCTGGTTCTGTTTCCGTTGTTATCAGCTCTCTCCACCTTTGGCGGTCAGTTGCGATGGACTTCATGGTTGCATGCCTGAGGCCTGTTCAGTCAGTCAGGTTCTGTAAATAGGTCTTTCTTGGTCTGCCTCTTCTCCTCTTTCCCTCTGAGTCCTCCATTATTGTTTTTGAGAGGCCGTTAGATCTTATTACATGTCCATACCATTGCTTTTTCACTGTAGTTAAAAGAGGTTCATAGTTGCCAATATGCTGTATAGTTTTATGGCGAATTTTACCTCGGGTTTTCAGAGTTTATACTTACATACATGTTGTCTGTCATTCTGTGGGAAGATTCGCGGGACCGGGATACTAACTCCGTTTGTAGCATGTTCGGCTCCACGCTGGCGTCGCCCCTCCTCTCCTTGGCATGCTCTCTGGTGAAGCTGGTGGGCAAAACATTTTCAGTAGGTGAATATACTTTGTACATGAAACGGCTCTGTAAGTTTATAAGTGTGTCGCCTTCTTGAGGCACACGACACACTTTGTGATCCTATGTATGTAAATTATGGTGTATGCAGGCAGACAGGCTTAAGACACACGTAATCACCCAGATATACACACATATGCAGACAAGAGAAACGTCAGACACGCTAAGACATGCGCAGTCAATCAGACAGGTAGAGAAACAGACACACCACACACATCTAGTTATACACGCATGTGCAGGCAGGCAGACACATGTACCACATTCAACTATTTGTACACACATAAACAGGCAAGAAGACAAGCACACAAACAACAGCCACGTCTACTTTTCCAGACATGTGCAGACAGGCAAACAGATAAATTACATACATATGTTTGTATACACATGTACAGGCAAGCAGACAGGAAGAGAAACATAAGACACACTTCATACGTCTGCTTATACACACTTGTGCATACAGGCTGGCAGACCCATTATACGCATCTGTTTCTACACACATGTGCAGACAGGCAGACACAAACATCTGTTTCTACACACATTTGCAATCAATCACGCCACACATATCTGTTTATTCACACATGTGTAGCTACGCAGACTGATACACCAAACACATATGTGTAGCTACGCAGACTGATACACCAAACACATATGTGTAGCTACGCAGACTGATACACCAAACACATATGTGTAGCTACGCAGACTGATACACCAAACACATATGTGTAGCTACGCAGACTGATACACCAAACACATATGTGTAGCTACGCAGACTGATACACCAAACACATATGTGTAGCTACGCAGACTGATACACCAAACACATATGTGTAGCTACGCAGACTGATACACCAAACACATATGTGTAGCTACGCAGACTGATACACCAAACACATATGTGTAGCTACGCAGACTGATACACCAAACACATATGTGTAGCTACGCAGACTGATACACCAAACACATATGTGTAGCTACGCAGACTGATACACCAAACACATATGTGTAGCTACGCAGACTGATACACCAAACACATATGTGTAGCTACGCAGACTGATACACCAAACACATATGTGTAGCTACGCAGACTGATACACCAAACACATATGTGTAGCTACGCAGACTGATACAACAAACACATATGTGTAGCTACGCAGACTGATACAACAAACTCATATGTGTAGCTACGCAGACTGATACACCAAACACATATGTGTAGCTACGCAGACTGATACACCAAACATATATGTGTAGCTACGCAGACTGATACAACAAACACATATGTGTAGCTACGCAGACTGATACACCAAACACATATGTGTAGCTACGCAGACTGATACACCAAACACATATGTGTAGCTACGCAGACTGATACACCAAATACATATGTGTAGCTACGCAGACTGATACACCAAACACATATGTGTAGCTACGCAGACTGATACACCAAATACATATGTGTAGCTACGCAGACTGATACACCAAACACATATGTGTAGCTACGCAGACTGATACACCAAACACATATGTGTAGCTACGCAGACTGATACACCAAACACATATGTGTAGCTACGCAGACTGATACACTAAACACATATGTGTAGCTACGCAGACTGATATACCAAACACACATGTATAGCTACGCAGACTGATACACCAAATACATATGTGTAGCTACGCAGACTGATAAAACAAACACATATGTCTATACATACATGTCAAGGCAGACAGACACACACACCACACACGTCTGTTTATAAACACATGTGCAGGCAGGAAGGCAGACACACTAAACATTTATGTTTATACACATATGGGTAGCTAGGCAGATAGACACATTAAACACATATGTTTGTACACATATGAGTAGCTAAGCAGATAGACACATGAAACACATATGTTTATACACATATGGGTAGCTAGGCAGATAGACACATGAAACATATATGTTTATACACATATGTGTAGCTAGGCAGATAGACACATGAAATACATATGTTTATACACATATTGGTAGCTAGGCAGATAGGCACATGAAATACATATGTTTATACACATATGGGTAGCTAGGCAGATAGGCACATGAAACACATATGTTTATACACATATGGGTAGCTAGGCAGATAGACACATGAAACACATATGTTTATACACATATTGGTAGCTAGGCAGATAGGCACATGAAATACAGATGTTTATACACATATGGGTAGCTAGGCAGAAAGACACATGAAATACATATATTTATACACATATTGGTAGCTAGGCAGATAGGCACATGAAATACATATGTTTATACACATATGGGTAGCTAGGCAGATAGGCACATGAAACACATATGTTTATACACATATGGGTAGCTAGGCAGATAGACACATGAAACACATATGTTTATACACATATGGGTAGCTAGGCAGATAGACACATGAAACACATATGTTTATACACATATGAGTAGCTTGGCAGATAGGCACATGAAACACATATGTTTATACACATATGGGTAGCTAGGCAGATAGGCACATGAAACACATATGTTTATACACATATGGGTAGCTAGGCAGATAGGCACATGAAACACATATGTTTATACACATATGAGTAGCTTGGCAGATAGGCACATGAAACACATGTTTATACACATATGGGTAGCTAGGCGGATAGACACATCTTCTTCTCTTCTTCTTTCGTTCGCCTGAAATAAGTTATCTATATCAGCAGTTTTGCCTCTTGTATAAATTTCACTGTCATTGTTAGTTCATTCAGTGGTCCATAGAGTTTACGTTCCACTGTTGTTCTTTCTGGCCAAAAGGTTTGCCCTAATGTGTCAAATTCGGTGCAGTCCTGGAGTACATGCTCTGCGGTCTGGGGCACATTTCCACAGGTGCACATGGCTGATACACCTATCTTGAATTTTGTGTACATGTGGTTACGTAATCGATTGTGCCCTGTTCTGAGGCGGAAGATAATGACTTGTTCTGGTCTGTCCATAATAAAACAGTCGTCTTGTGCTGGGGCTGGTGGTTTCCTGATCGATTTAATTATTCTTTTCTTTTGGCGGTATGTGACTGGTACATCTGGCTGCTCTTTTTTCGCACCTTCCCCTGCCAGTTGATCAGCTTTCTCATTTCCAGGCACTCCACAATGAGACGGTATCCACTGCATTACGACTCTTCGCTGAACGCTGAGTTGTGTCAGCAGTGTTTGCAATTCTGGTAGTTTCCTAGACTGGAGTGCTTCAAGTACTGATTTAGCATCTGTAAGCATTACCACATACTGTGAGCCAAGGTTGGTATTTAGCAGTTTCTCTGTAGCTATCTTAATAGCCTGGGTTTCTGCATCGTAGTTATGGCAGTACTTCCCGGTTGGTACGCTGGACTTATCCCTAGTACCATCTGGGAATTCGATGTACACTCCAGCACCACCATTTCTAACTGCATTTTCTGCGGACCCATCTGTATAGACTCTGACCCATTGTTCTTGTGGGTATTCTTCATCAATATAACTGAGGGTGGCCATTTTGCGTTGTACACTATCTTGCTCTTTCTTGTCAAATATCCCTTTCACATTTGTCTGGATTTGTACCGTTAGTTTACATTTTTCTCTCCATGGGGTTTGTTCCGGAATACTTTTTAGTGGGCAGCCAATTTCTGGAAGGTCAGGAGTTTGTCTACATATTCTTTTTGCTTGGTGTATAAAGCTGCTTCTTTTTAACCGTCCCAATGCTAGGTTCTTAAATCTATTTTCCATCGGGTGATCTGGCATACTGAGGAACTTTTCAGCTTGTATTTGCAACTTTGTATCTCTGCGTTCTCTCAGTGCCTGTGTTTTCCCAGCTTTCTCCATTTCTAATATGGGGGTTGATTTCATCCCTCCTGTGATGACTCTGAGCGCTTGATTTTGCACTTTTTCCAACTTCTTTATTGTGGCACTAGATGCTGAACACCATGCAGTTGACCCATATTCCAAGTTTGGAAGTATGCTCTGCTTGTATACTTTATTGAGTATTTTTCCATCGGCTCCCCATGTGGTTCCACTTAGGTTTCTTAGTATTGCTGTCTTCCTCCTGGCTTTGGTTACTGCCTTGTTGATATGTTTTCTGAATGTCAACCTGTCATCAAATGTGACTCCTAGGTATGTGGGCTCTTTATCATCTCTCAGAGGTATTTCGTTTATTTTGATGGTGCGGATAGACACATGAAACACATATGTTTATACACATCTGTGTAGCTAGGCAGATAGGCACATGAAACATATGTTTATACACATATGGGTAGCTAGGCAGATAGACACATGAAACACATATGTTTATACACATATGGGTAGTTAGGCAGAAAGACACATGAAACACATATGTTTATACACATATGTGTAGCTAGGCAGATAGACACATGAAACACATATGTTTATACACATATGGGTAGCTAGGCAGATAGACACATGAAACACATATGTTTATACACATATGGGTAGCTAGGCAGATAGACACATGAAACACATATGGGTAGCTAGGCAGATAAACACACGAAAGACATATGTTCATACACATATGTGCCGGCAGGAAAAGCACATCACATTCGATTCGATTTGGTGTTGTGGGGGAGGGGGAACAAAAATTAGACAACGTTCATCTGCCTGCGAGATTATAATTATAGCCTTTGCAAAACCCAGACACGGTTGACCTATGGGCCATATGTACTGGCAGTTCACATCTCTGATGAGGCACAGGTTGCAACTGGTGTTGTTGTGGTTCGTCCATGACGAGTGATGAGGACCACTTTCATCTAGAGTGATAGCTGAATGAAAGTGACTTGCGCAAGGACTTGGATTTAAGTAAGCAGTAGCTATGCTATTCGTCGACTTCACTCTCTCGCCTGTGTCCATCTTGATCCAATGGCAGGACAATCTCGCGGCGACTGGAAACGGACCTAGGTGCAATGGATGGCCAAGGCGTCTAAAGTGCCCTGCCTTGCTCGAAGCTCTCCACAGAGCCTGCTGGTAATCGCCTTCTTGTTGCAACTGGTAATTTTAGCGTGTCAGCTCTTTGTTGGTGACTGAAGACGGGGACGGAGCAGGTGTGGGAATGTCCCGAGTACAGTGAAATCATTTCTTGATTCATTCAGTCATTCATTTATCTGTGATGGGGTGACATGTTATTCATTGGAAAGCTGGCAAAGACTTCGATCTTGGAGTCTCGGACAGCGAGTAAGCACCAGATATACACTTGAATGCGGTTACCAGTTTGAGACCTGATTATGTCTACTTTTGTGACCCTAGTGGTCAAGAACAAAATTAAATTAGTTGATCAATATTACAGGTTACCTTGGGAAAAGTTTGGCGGGGAGGGTATCTGTAGCAAAGTGGTTTAGCCGTCTGCCTGGCGTTCTGAAAGTCGTGAAGGAGGAGGGATAGTTCTATCTTGTTCCATAGGGATCGTCGCTGAAGCTATGAGGTTCGTGTTCTAAGCTACCCTATCGGCAGTCGGTTATCTGCTCTGTGGAGAGAGACTGAACCACCTGGGATCAAACCTGGTGCGGCGACATTAACTTCAACAGCTTACCTGGAGGTGTTCCCCGTTGCCTTCTGTAGTGTGGTTCTTCTAGTTGGACTCCCTTTGCCTGGCTCCGCTGGCTTAACCATCATGCCGGTAAAAGCCTGCCCCGTTCATATTAGTCCATGAGATGTGGAGAAGAACATTAGGTGCATTACGATGTACAGACAAGGCAGTTACTACTTAAATTAACACAATGTTTGAACAAGTACAGCAGCTAAAACCAAGACTGTGTTCACTATGAGCTGTTTACCGAAGCAATGTCACAAATTCACTCAGCCTGCCAAATGAAGTCTAAGAGGAAACAAATTAGCAAAGACATGTGTTTTTAACAATCTGAACATAATCATGATTGTTTGCTATAATGTCCACGAAACTAACCAGGAAGGGTAACCCGGTCAACAAATGCCTGTACAAGACGGATGTGTCGGCCGAAAGGTGCAAATATCGCAGCCATGCTATAAAGGGGCACAACACAGTTACATCTTCGGATGAAAGCAGAAGAAGAAGAAAAAGACGAAGAAGAAGAAGTATGTTAAAATGTGTGTGTGTATGTGTGTGTGTTTTGGGGTGGGGGGTTGTGAGGTTTAGAGGGGGTTGGGTGAAACTAGGATCGTATATCTTAATCATTTCACTCAGCGTGCCATTCAAAATCGATCCAGTCAGCATCAGTTCAGTCCCAAAATAGATGGGGCTACTGTGGTCTGGCATATTCGGCCTCTACATATTCGCCGTTACGGTCGAGTGGGTGAGACAAATGATTGCCTTTCTTGTCCCTTCCTTCCCGGCTTTATGTGTTATGTTATTTAGTGGCGTCTCAATAGTTAACTCCATTGGTTAAAGATAATTGGTTACCTTCAAATGACATACTTGCTGCCACAAAGCCATACTCAGCCGCCCACAGATTTGCTCATTACACAGCCACACATAGAGCCACATATGAGACACAGCCATCCATAGACTCATATATTAGACACAGCCATACATAGACTCATATATTAAACACAGCCACACATAGAGCCACATATTAGACACAGCCACACATAGAGCCACATATTAAACACAGCCACACATAGAGCCACATATTAAACTCAGCCACACATAGAGCTACATATTAGACAGAGCCGCCCATAGAGTCATGTATTAGACACAGCCACCCATAGAGTCATACATTAAACACAGCCACACATAGAGTAACAAATTAGACACATCCATCTATAGAATCACACATTAGACACAGCTTTCACTAGAGTAACACATTAGACACAGCCACCCATATAGTAACACATTAGACACAGCCGCCCATAGAGTAACACATTAGACATAGCCGTCCATAGAGTAACACATTAGACACAGCCGCCCATAGAGTAAAACAGACACAGCCGCCCATAGAGTAAAACATTAGACACAGCCGCCCATAGATTAACACATTGGACACAGCCGCCCATAGAGTAAAACAGACACAGCCGCCCATAGAGTAACACATTAGACACAGCCGCCCATAGAGTAAAACAGACACAGCCGCCCATAGAGTAAAACATTAGACACAGCCGCCCATAGATTAACACATTGGACACAGCCGCCCATAGAGTAAAACAGACACAGCCGCCCATAGAGTAACACATTAGACACAGCCGCCCATAGAGTAAAACAAACACAGCCGAACATAGAGTAAAACATTAAACACCCATAGAGTCATACATTAAACACAGCCACACATAGAGTCATACATTAAACACAGCCACCCATAGAGTAACAAATTAGACACATCCATCTATAGAATCACACATTAGACACAGCTTTCACTAGAGTAACACATTAGACACAGCCGCCCATATAGTAACACATTAGACACAGCCGCCCATATAGTAACACATTAGACACAGCCGCCCATAGAGTAACACATTAGACATAGCCGTCCATAGAGTAACACATTAGACATAGCCACCCATAGAGTAAAACATTAGACACAGCCGCCCATAGAGTAACACATTAGACACAGCCGCCCATAGAGTAAAACAGACACAGCCGCCCATAGAGTAACACATTAGACACAGCCGCCCATAGAGTAAAACAGACACAGCCGCCCATAGAGTAACACATTAGACACAGCCGCCCATAGAGTAAAACATTAGACACAGCCGCCCATAGATTAACACATTGGACACAGCCGCCCATAGAGTAAAACAGACACAGCCGCCCATAGAGTAACACATTAGACACAGCCGCCCCTAGAGTAAAACAAACACAGCCGCCCATAGAGTGAAACATTAAACACAGCCGCCCATAGATTAACACATTGGACACAGCCGCCCATAGAGTAAAACAAACACAGCCGCCCATAAAGTAAAACAAACACAGCCGCCCATAGAGTAAAACAAACACAGCCGCCCATAGAGTAAAACAGACACAGCCACCCATAGAGTAAAACATTAAACACAGCCGCCCATAGATTAACACATTGGACACAGCCGCCCATAGAGTAAAACAGACACAGCCACCCATAGAGTAAAACATTAGACACAGCCGCCCATAGATTAACACATTGGACACAGCCGCCCATAGAGTAACACATTAGACACAGCCGCCCATAGAGTAACACATTAGACATAGCCGCCCATAGAGTAACACATTAGACACAGCCGCCCATAGAGTAACACATTAGACACAGCCACCCATAGAGTAACACATTAGACACAGCCGCCCATAGAGTAACACATTAGACATAGCCGCCCATAAAGTAAAACATTAGACATAGCCGCCCATAGAGTAACACATTAGACACAGCCACCCATAGAGTAACACATTAGACACAGCCGCCCATAGAGTAAAACATTAGACACAGCCGCCCATAGAGTCACACATTAGACACAGCCGCCCATAGAGTAACACATTAGACACAGCCGCCCATAGAGTAACACATTAGACACAGCCGCCCATAGAGTCACACATTAGACACAGCCGCCCATAGAGTCACACATTAGACATAGCCGTCCATAGAGTATCACATTAGACACAGCCGCCCATAGAGTAACACATTAGACATAGCCGCCCATAGAGTAAAACATTAGACACAGCCGCCCATAGAGTAAAACATTAGACACAGCCGCCCATAGAGTAACACATTAGACACAGCCGCCCATAGAGTAACACATTAGACACAGCCGCCCATAGAGTAAAACATTAGACATAGCCGCCCATAAAGTAAAACATTAGACACAGCCGCCCATAGAGTAACACATTAGACACAGCCGCCCATAGAGTAACACATTAGACATAGCCGCCCATAGAGTAACACATTAGACATAGCCGCCCATAGAGTAACACATTAGACACAGCCGCCCATAGAGTAACACATTAGACATAGCCACGCATAGAGTAACACATTAGACACAGCCGCCCATAGAGTAAAACAGACACAGCCGCCCATAGAGTAAAACAGACACAGCCGCCCATAGAGTAAAACAGACACAGCCGCCCATAGAGTAAAACAGACACAGCCGCCCATAGAGTAAAACAGACACAGCTGCCCATAGAGTAACACATTAGACACAGCCGCCCATAGAGTAAAACAGACACAGCCGCCCATAGAGTAAAACAGACACAGCCACCCATAGAGTAACACATTAGACACAGCCGCCCATAGAGTAAAACATTAGACACAGCCGCCCATAGAGTAAAACATTAGACACAGCCGCCCATAGAGTAAAACATTAGACACAGCCGCCCATAGAGTAACACATTAGACACAGCCGCCCATAGAGTAACACATTAGACATAGCCGCCCATAGAGTAACACATTAGACATAGCCGCCCATAGAGTAAAACAGACACAGCCGCCCATAGAGTAAAATATTAGACACAGCCGCCAATAAAGTAACACATTAGACACAGCCACCCATAGAGTCACACATTAGACACAGCCACCCATAGAGTCACACATTAGACACAGCCGCCTATAGAGTCACACATTAGACACAGCCGCCCATAGAGTAACACATTAGACACAGCCAACAATAGAATGACACAGTGGACACAACCATCAATAGTGTCATACATCAGACACAACCATCCATACAACCACCCATGGATTCACACATTGGATATAGCTAGCCACCCACTCAGTCACTTCCATACACCTACCTATAGAGACACCCATAGACACACATAAGACACAGCAACCCAATGCGGTCACAACATTAGACCCAGCCCTCACCCATACAACCACTCATAGAGTCAAGCTTATACACACAATTAGCCACGAATACATCCACAGATTCACACCACATTTGCAGCTCTGCACACTCAACCAGCCTACCTTGTCCACTGAACTTTCACCGGCTGCGTGCAAGTTGTCTCCTCGGGCGCAGGTATTGAGTGGCTCTGGCGTCCTACGGTGGTACTGTTCGAACACTTTTCTGTCCCGTCCATCCCTGGTGACGTATCCTGCCTTACGTTCATCTGGAACGACACTAGAAGTAAGATTTGAGCCCTCCTTTGTGTCTTTGGTCTCCTTGATGGTTTGGATATTGGACAAGTCGCCTGTTTTATTTCCAGCAGCCGGCGAGGCCATGTGAGCGTTAGGCAGCTTCCAATGATGCATACTTGTCGTTCTATGGCGTGTAAGATCGTCCTTGGGATAATCTAAACATTTGGTGGCAGTAACCGTTGAGCGCCTTTTGCCGTGTAGAACGAAAAATTTGTTATTGTTATCCTCAGACTGTTTACTTTCTTGCGGGTGATTTTTGCTACATTTTGAGTCATCGCTTGAGAATACAGTCTTGTTGACTGGCCTGGCTTCATCGTCGAAGCACTGAGGCTCCATTCTGTCTATTATCTCTGGCACGCTTGGCATGCGTTTTTCCGATGAAGCCTCTGAGAGTTTCTTGAACTGTGTACCGAGTTTACTCACCGGCCGTGCATTCTGGCTGTCATCGGAACTTGACATCGCCAAGGTCAGCTGCCCGGACAGATCTCGCGGCTTTCTTTCCCTCAGATGGACAGGCACGAGATCATTGTCGGCTAACTCATCTTCCGTTAGGAGAAGCGAGCCTGTATCTGAAGCTTCGTACTTAAGCAGTTTTAGTTCCCTCTGGGGTTTTCTTTTCACAGTGGGAGAGATTCGATGTGTGGCATTAAAGGGATTTGACGAGGCAACTGAAATAACGCTTTTCGGCGAGGAGAACAACGAACTAGCTTTCTTCGCAGACAACGTTGGGACCATTGTTTTGCTGGTCGAAGAAGATCGCGTCCGCAGAAACGACGTTACCTGTTTGATTTGTTTCTGGTCACTGGTGTCATGAGCTCGAGCAGACTGAGGCCGAACATGCGTGTTCTTGGCTAATTTTTTGACTGCAGAGTTCCTGCCAGGTAGCGTCGACCATTTGGATGCTGGTTTGGTGACTGGAACTTGACCATGTAGCCTGATGTCGGAGGTTTCGGTTTTGGGTTGAGCAATGCTGTCTCCGGTGTTGAGTTTATTGTTAGCCTCACATACATTGGAGTCGACACTGTTGGTTGAAGAAAACGTGGGCGTCACGAAGAAATCTCCACCGCTTGGATCTATCGATATTTCTTTATTTTCAGTGGTTAGCGATTGCCGCGACCTGGGTCTGTGCAGAAACAAATGCTCTAAACGGACACCTCTTTCATTCTTACTAGGTAATCTAGGCATTTCCGGCATCCCACCTGTTGACTGGTTGGCTTCTCGTAAAGGATATGCGATGTTTCTAAAAGCACTGACACTGCCTTTGTGTAACTGATTAGTGCGATGGGGTGTCGGGGGTCTGAGAGCTCTGCGTAGGTCAGTCTTTTCTGTTTTCGCATCGTTGGTTACTTGACTCACTGGGGGCGGGTTACTAGACCGGAGAAACTGCAGGTACCTCTCCATGGCCTTGGTATGCTGCTTTTCATCTTTGGGTACATCTTTGCTTTCGTCTGATCTGTCACTCTGGCGGGACCGACTGCGCACATCAGCTTTTTGGTTCGAAAAAGGCAAATGGGGAGAGCTGATGTTCTGTTTGATTTTGTTTACACCGCTTTTATAGACATCCAGAACATTTCTGCTCTTGTTATCTTTAAGCGACGAATCTTTCTCATTTTCCAGTAACGTCGATATGTTATGGCTGATGCTTTCAAATGCGGCAACATCCAGTGGAGAGTTTGCTGTGTCTTTCTTGGAAAGTCGCTTTCCCCAGTCTTTTGTGTGTACGATGTATTTATTTTCTGTAGCATTCTTTTTCCGTTGGGCAAAATCTCTCAGATTCACTCTTACCGCTGAGGCCTCTGGCTCGTCTGAAGTCTGTTTAAGCTCTTTCTCCGCTCTCTCTGGTTTATCGGGTAAAGATTCTAGGTTACTGGCAACACACGGGTTGTGCATTGTGTCTTCTTTTGTCACCGGTACTTCTTCGACGTTGTCTGCTTCTAGTTGATTATCAGTATTTATATTTTGGCTGTCTGTAAATCGGTGTGAGTTTGTCAGATTTAAATTATCTTCTATACCTAACTGTTCTGTGGCATTGCCACCGCTCTGGCGTGATCGTGGCCTGTTTAAGCACTGCAACATTTGAAGTCTCGAGTTTGTATCGTAGTTCAAACTCAGAGTCGCTCGTGATGTTTTGGCTTGAGGAGGTTTTGAAAGGGTCTGAGAACTCTTTGAATCGATAACGTCGCTCGAAGAGCTTGAGGTCATTGCACTGGGGTCGAGCTCTAGCTTGATTCTAGGACAACTGCTGCCCCAGGCATCGCGGGCTATTCGATGTTTCTCATCGTCTTCTTCGGTGTTTTGCCTCAGCTGAGTGGAGGTGATGAAGCGGGTCTCGAACTTAGTAATTAGATCTTTCATTGTTGGCTTGGGCACTATCGTCTGGTTGTCTTCTAGCGATGACTTAGACCGTGGCGCCATTGGCAACGCTACTGTGGCCGTCAAGTTATGTGACGTGCCGGGGGCAACTTCGCTGGCGTCCATGGTCTGATCTGCAGCCCTGAAGATCCCGTGCCTAATCAGAGCACCGGGGGGATCCGATAGCGTGGCTGCAACAGCTGGACCTGCGCTGGTGTCGTTGGCCTCACCCTTGTTATCATCTGAGGAAACCCAGAGGTGTGCGTTGCTGTTGCTGCTATTAATCTTTTTCACAGTAAAACATCCACTAGCTGCTCTGCTCATATCTACAGTCTACAGCGTTTTACAATAAAGCTGTGTGTGACATGTTTAGCTAGCAATCTTACATTTATAACATTTTAACTATTTTATGATGTGTAGGTATATACGTGTCTGCGGGCGTGACATTGTAAATGTATGTGTGTACACGCACTCTCTCTGTCACACACACACACACACACACACACACACACACAATGACTCTCGTAACACACGCATACACATATAATGAATTTAATGAAGGTGAAGAATTTAGAGAGTATCCAGACAAGCCCTGGTATTAACAAGAACATGATGATGAACTGGGAACATTCGGAGGCAAAGAATCACAAAACAGATACTGAAATGAGAAAACCCGTTGACTGAGAACGCCAGGACGTCCAGGAGAACCCCCATAAGAGGCCATTGGTGCTGACTAGATTCTAAATACAACGTGTTTGAGTGAGAGTGAGAGAAAGAGAGAGAAGGGGGGCATGGGGATACTTTGAAGACCTTCTGCTCAGATCAACCCCAGACTAAAGGAACACTAAGATATCAAGCCTGTCGAAACTGAAATGATATCAATGATGAGATACCAACTAGAGAAGACATTATAAACGTTATCAATCTCCTGAATGAAGGGAAAGCTGCGGATCCAGCGTCTCAAGTGTGTTTATACGTTGAGATAAGCCACAGACCAGCTCTCTCAGTCAACAAGCAAGTCAATACAGCGTGTGGTATTCAAATGTTACAGAACAATTCTTTAGTATGCTGTATCAGAAGGACAAACATGTTTCACATTATACAAGAAATACTGGCTCATAAAGTGCATAATGTATAGGGGACAGAAATATCGCGCGTGTGTATGTGTGCGCACGCGTATGTATATATGTGTACAAATGAATATGCAAGTCTTCCCGTAAGTTTGTAAATTAATACCCCTACCCCCCCCCCACCCCAATACTTTTTATATATACCCCCATACCTTTTTATGTAATCCCCTCCTCCACCCCAATACTTGTGTTTTCGTTTACCCCCCCCCCCCCCTCCCCCTCTATTTGTGTACTTTTTCATGTAAACTGCCCCCAGACTTTTTTATGTTACCACCCTCCCCACCTTCTTCAAATCCGAATACTTTTTTTATACCCCCCCCCCCCTTTTTTCCCCCCCCCCCAACACACAAACACACACACACACAAACACACACACTTTTGTATATAATCTCTTTTCAGTACTCATGAATGAACCTCGATACTTACACCGACCTGCCTCACGCAGTTACGGTATGTATGTATTTTTAATCCTAATTATTGAACAACAAGTTGTATATTACCAATAATAAGGACCTTGATTCCCCCTCCCCCACCAGGATTGCAGTCTGTAAGTTTAACATCTTAAGGACAAGAATCAAACCGGTAAAAATCCCGGAAACCCTACTGGACCGTATAGCTATAGATCACAATTATATTGAGGCATCAACAAACCCGGGAGCATGTTGTTTGAAGCTGGGTGGGAGAGAGGACTTGTGGTCAAAAGTGTCTTATGTGGTTTGGGGCTGTGTCAGTAGAAAGTCAGTTAGGTGACAAGAGGTATCTTTAGTGGTTGAACCTGGATTCACAGCAAAGCTATGAGGTGATGAAAAGCGTCTTAGTGGTTTAAACCTGGGACTGTAGCAAGACTGTTGGGTGATGAGAAGCGTCTGTGTGGTCTGGAGCGGGATCTGTAACAATGCTGTGAAGCGATAGAGTCTTTGTTGATTGAAACTGGATCTGTAAGAATAGTACGAAGTGATAAAAAAGTGTCTTTGTGATTAGGAGCTAGATCTGTAACAAAACTGTACGATGATAAGAAGTGTCTTTATGATCTAAAGCGTGATTTGTAACAAGACTATGAAGTGATAAGAAGTATCTTTTTTATTAGGAGCTTGATCTGTAACAAGACTATAAAGTGACAAGAAGTGTCTTTTTGATTAGTAGCTTGATCTGTAACAATACTATGAAGTCATAAGAAGTGTCTTTATGATTAGGAGCTTGATCTGTAAGAAATCTTTAAAGTCATACGAAGTATCTTTATGATTTGCAGCTGGATCTGTAACAAGACTGTGAAGTGAT